TGTTTAATAAGGAGTTCAAAATATATCAATACAAAATGTAAATTGCCATTATAACGTTAAAATATTCTCGAGGCCTCTACCGCTTTTTTTAAGTATAGGTTCCCAAATAATCTTGTGACAAGATTTAGATTTTTCGTTCAGATCATCATCAAAATCATCGTCATCATTTCAGCCTGTTTGAATCCACTGATAGGGTCCCCTTACAAACGACCACGACTTCCGCACGTTTTTAAAGGTCGCCACTCAATCTTGTACCTTACAAGTCATCCTAGGAAGGCCAGTACAAGGCTGCCCTCAAGAATCTGTCTTCTCTATCGGTTATCGGTTCTACGAGCTACATGGCCGGCCCATCGCCTCTTAAGCTTACTAATCTTATTAGCTATCTCGGTTATCTTTGTTCTACTGCAGATGTCATCGTTGTGAACGCTATCACGCAGAGAAATACTGAGCATAGCCCACCCCTTAGCTCGCTGAGCGACGGAGCTTCATTATTCGGCCAGCAGTGACGAACCACGCCTCGGTTCCGTAGATCATCTACTACTTACTACCAACGCACATTAATTGAAAACTTTGGTATTCAAACATTGAGGAATATTAGAGAGAAAATATATGGCGAAGTTTTTCGAAGGCCGCCTATTTCTGCCATTTCTGCGAGTTGGGTTCGCCGATTGGCCTTTGCGTTGAAGTTGGACTTACCTAATAGTCCAAGGTAACTGTACTCGACAACAACTTAGAGCACAGTGCTCCCAAAAATAACCGGTATAGGCGTGACATGGACAGTAGACATGATCTTTGTCTTGTCCATGTTCACCTTAAGGCCCACCCGTTGGCCAAGGTCCTCCGGCTATTCTACAAAGATGACTATGTCATCGGCAAATCAAAGGTGAGTGATTTATTCGCCATTGATGTTAATATCACGTCCTTTCAAGTACAAAAGCTTTAAAACATCTTACGTATACAAAAATCAAAATATAAAGAAAAACATTATATACTTAATATAATGTTCATGTTTTCTCGTGAAATAATAGACCCACTATTTGCTGTGTACTCACGCTCGTGGTATTATGCAAATAGGACAAATTTTAACCATCATCGCATTGACAGGCTCGGTCAATGCGATGATGGTTATTTTTATACTCATTAACACCCTAATATAATTATTTCATTAAAAAAACTACCTACATTAAAATAAGCGTAGGTAACTGCCTATATTATAAAATGTGTTTTTTGTAAATAAATTAACAGAAACGCTCCGGGATTCGAACCTGTGTTTCTTTCCTTACACTATCCTACTGCATTATACTGTGTTAACATCAATATGTAGATAGATATCAAGTAATAGATAGATATTAATGTTTCTTATACCTATAATTTAATTATTCTTTATCCTATTCTTATACCTTAATAATAATTCTTATACCTTAATTTAATATTAACAACAAAGTAATTTGCTTAATGTTATATATTAATTTTAACTGCCTTTTTAGCAGGCTTTAACTTCGTTTTCACGCAAAAAAAGTACTTATGTCATTTACCCAACATAAGACATTTGAGTATATGTTCCATACAATCTTCATTAAATAGTGGAAGAAAAGATAAAAAAAAAATCCACGTTATTTATAACACTATCATTTGCTAATGACATATTTTGTATTAAGCTGTTATAATTAATTAGCGTAATAAATTATTTAATTTTTACGAATGAAGAGGCTGAGGCATTCAACTACTCTTAGGTGATTTGTTAATCACTTGTCTAAACGAGACAACTATAAAAGTGCATAACTTTTAATTTTTTTCATCAGTCCATCATCTTTCATCAATTCCTCGATAAGAATCATTTTCGCAATTATAAGTTCTTCATAGTTAAATTTAAGAATGAACAGAAAGTCGATCGGACGTAAGCTCCTTTATCGTTTAATGGACGATCCTGTAAGGAGGGTTAAGAGACAAAAAGGTATGTAATCCACTATCTAAAACCCATTTTTACCTTTTTATTTTTATTTTAAATATGTAATAAAATGTAGATGATATACTTAATAATAAATTCTATCAGAGAAGAAAATTCCGCTGCATATGATACCGAGTACTGACACAGTAACTAATTATTATTTATCTGTCTGGAAAACGTTAAAGTATAATAACCCATTCTGTAAAACAAAACATGGAATGTTATTTTTAAAATAGTATTATACCGTTATCACTTATATCTATTAATACATTGCGTTCTCGTTTTTGCAGGGCCGTCACAGCAGTCAAAAAGATTAAAATTCGATTATGACTCAACTCCTTGCAACAACACTTGCGACAAAAACGAGCCAGCAAAAACACCCAATAATACAATCTGTTATCTTTCGCCCACCGCGGTATTAACGCCAAAAAGCGTCGCGGACAAAAACGGTTTATTTTAATTAAAACAAAAATGTTGACGTTCAATGATTCTGAAGAAACAGATTCAGATAGTGAACATTGACATTTCATGATTTATTATGTATTAATTAGTCTTTATAATAATATTGTATTTATTAATTAAAGTAATTTTATGTAAAATGCAAACATGTTTTGTACGTACGTATGTATATTGTTAATTGATTGAAAATAAATTATCCATAAAAATGTATTAAGTAAGTAGTGATATATTAAAATTTAAAAGTACTTTTTTAATTTTTAGTATTTTAGTTTTTTTTTTTGCTTTTTATACCTTGGGTTACCATCAACTTTTCTCTCAAAAGTTTGTTTCTCTTCCCGACATGAGTTGTTTTTTCTTTGACTGGATCAACTCAGCTGAGGGCTGCAGAGGGAGCCTCGGCTCGGGCCATCACGCTGTTATTGTTAGTACCGGTTTGGGAGGCCGCCAAGCTTTTAGGACGATCCATGGAGTAACTAACTCACGAAGACAACGTTATATAATAAATATTGTTATAACTTTCCATAGAATATCGTAGTTGAAAGTTAGAAGAAAAAATGGAAACAAAATAGGTAACATTTTAAACAATTATTCATTAACGAGCTTAAGTGAAATAATAATTACGTAGTCTTTTTTTTTTTTTTTTTTTTTTTTAACATTATCCTGTGTTGCAAGGACGTTTTACAAACATAAATTGCACGAGGACAAACACCCAGATGCGAAACCAACTATCTGTGGGTCGCACAAATAGTTGTCCCGTGTGGGAATCGAACCCACGACCCCCCACGCCGAAGCCAATACCTTGGCAACTGCACCACGGAGTCATCGAAAAATGAATTTGGTTGATATTATAAAATCTTCGACGACCCAATTGACGTAGTGGATAGTGCCCCGACTCTTGCACCGGAGGGTGTGGGTTCATTCCCCACTACTGGAAAAATATTGTGTTTTTCTAGTGTCTGGGTCATATCTGATATCTTTCATATGTAATTATTTGATATTTTATTTTGAAATGAAAAATTATTAAAACGACCTGAGAAACCTTTATACGATATATCCTTCTACTTGTACTTTAGTGCGACCTTCCGTGAGGACATGGACAAAAGCTGCCCGCTGATTTGTAAGATTTTTTTTAACTTCTTGCTTAGGCTTATATTCCACGAATTTCGAGATTTGTTCTTTCTCCATCGTACACAGGGCAGGGTCTCCTTGCATCAAAATCGACGCCGGCATTCCGAAAACCCACCATACCCGCTCAGGACTGGGTTCAACAAGACCTGCCCATTCATTCTGTAGATAGCAATAGCGTTAGGGTTATCTTGGTGGAGTTATTGCTATTTTTTTACTTGTCAGAAAGGAAAGGACGAGAGAATTGTAGAATACAAAGGGCAAAACAAATATTAAAAAAAATCGTTTATTTGAAATTAAACTTAAATGATACAAGATACATAAGATGTTATTAAAACATCAAGTTCTATTTTCGTGAAAAGTACACTCAAGTTCATTGCGGTGTTCACATTTTCACTATTTTTAAGGCACAATATTGGAACTAGATTGTCGATCAATTATTAGTAAAGTAGTTAAAAACAAATTTAACTATTATGATTTTTGCAATAATTTAGCAACAAAACCTAACATGATGTGATAACCATACATTTTCTAAAATTCTTATAATCGTAAGGCACTTTAAAATATATTTAGACTAATGAAGACATGGTATTAAATATTTGGTGCTAAGAATATAATTATCATAATAAAGTGTTATCCAAAAACCATTAAGTTGCATAATCTAACTGTATTTGCAAAATCAAAATGAATACAAGAATTCATGCAAAAATATGTGTATAAAATTCAAGGACTTGTTTAAACTTTATTTGTATTATTTTTTTAAACTAATTTGTATAATGTATTGTTGTTAAATAAAGCACTAATGTAGTGCTGGATTGGGTTTTGTTTTGGCTATTGTGAAAGTAAAGAAAAAATTAAAATAATATAATTGTGATCCTAAAAAGAATCTAACATGCCCACACAAACTGAATATGGAGTGAATTATTGGAAATCAGATTTCAAGATTCGTGTCATGTTGATAGTAAATCAACAATCAACAATACACCATATAGTATAGTATGTGATATTATGAAAACTACATTCATAAAAAATGCATTAAATTAGTATCTTGGCGTTTTCCTAGCATTAATACAAAAGATAGAGAAGGCCCAGCACTAACTTTATATTGCTTAACAAAACTTAGAATTAGTTTTGAGAAACAGTTTATAGCAAGAATTGTGTTATATTAAAAAAATTGAAACATTGTTGATCTTAAAATAACATTTAAGTTTTATGTCAAGTGTTTATTGTAACAGACTACTTGCATGTTACATAGTTATGTGAAAAGTTGGGATTGATTTTAATTACTGCATGAATGAAGGCCACAAATCACTTTACTACTACTACATGCCAATGCTGTAAAAAAACTTAATGTAACACTATAATTACGACTTTCACTGAGGAGGAACATGTGAGGAACCAGGTGCATTGATTATATGACGATGAATAGTCAAACCATACACCCGTCCATAAACTTGCGCATGAGTTACAAGAAATCCTGTAGCCGTCCTTGAATAAGTTTTATGCACGATTGGACCTCTTCGCAATCCGCCACCATGCCCTGCAGTTTGTCTTGTACATCAATCAGGGTATCCTTGGAAAGTGCCCCCTTCTTAAGGGAAGTCATGCAGAAAGTAGTCAGTGCTTTGAAACATAGCTTCCTCTGTACGTTATGTGGTTGGTTATCCCATACTGGGGTCGCCCTCACATAGCTCCATGCAAGAAAAACATATTTCACAACGGATTCCCACTGCTGGGACTCGACTAACACCTTCCCTTGCTCGATCAAACACTTCTTAAAGGCGGCCAAATGTGTTGACGCTCGCGAGAAAGCAGGTGAATCCGTTTTCGAAGTAAGCCTCGACGTTGGCAGACTCTTGAAGATGTTTGATTTCAGATAACTTAGTTTTTCTTCTAATGGCGCAAGATCGGGTGCTGGCATTTCTCTTCTTATCTCTTGTTCTATCTCCGGATGTTTGTAGGTAATGTGTTTGATCATGTTCACAAGTTGAGTTGGACTGAGACCTTTAAGTGCAACATCTATAGGACCTTTGTACTCTTCTACGGTTCTGTCCAATCTGAATCTTTTAACTGGAGGTGATCCCTTAATTGGGCTAGTCAGTTTGAACTTTTGGGGTGTACTGAGGTCGCTGAAATCGATTTTCTCTGGCGTGAATGGAATACGTTCAGTTTCGCCTAGAACAAGTCGTTTCCTCGGTGTTGATCGAAGGGTAACGCCTAATTTGGGTGGCGAAATGCGGCCGGGCGGGTTTTTGGTTGGGGTGCGGACAGTAGAATGGAATGAAGAGTTTCGCTTCAGTTCTATATCGGGAGACCATGTTGACGGAAGACGCTTCCGACCTGGGAGAAATAAAAAAAAAATTCGTTTCAAAACAGACTACATGCGAGTTACGCATGGCTTGTATTACTATTGAATATAAATTTTAAAATAAAAAAAATAACCAACAGAAACAACAAAATGGCCAGTAACATGCATGGGGTTGGAGATATGTTGATGTGACCCTTGAGTGTGTAGGCCTCCTGAACTAATTCACAAAGCAGAATAATAAAGTATTCACAAATACAATACTTTACTCTAGTCTTCTTTGAAGAAGTTGTACTTCCCCAGTAGTGCCTGGCCCAGATTGACAGAAATTATTCATATCCCACCTTTTTATGTTCATGTATGTTCAACAGTTGGAATAGCAATATGCTTTCAACTTGCCTCGTTGCTGAATACACAATTCGTCGGGGGAGGGCGCCGGGCTTAGGTAGCTAGGAGGTAGTGCAGGCGAGAGCTCGCGTATGTTGGTAACTGGCTGCAGTGGTGTGACGCGGAGGCGGTCGAGACGCGTCGGTATTTCGGCGAGGGCGGCTCGGGTTCGACGCCCCGTCTCTGGCGTCGCCGCGCCCTCCATACCACCTGTTGTGGTAAATAGTGTTTGTTCATTTTTAACCGACTTCAAAGAAGGAGGTTTTTTATTATTTTTCATGTGTGTTTGCGGATAACTTCGTCGTTTATGAACCGATTTTGATGATTATTTTTTTGTTGGAAAGGAGACATCCCAAGGGTGGTACCATGATAACGAAACCCGGATCTGATGAAGACATCCAACAGAAATCGAGGGCAATACGTTAATGTTATAGGTATTAACAATGTTATTTAGTTTGCGGTTTGAAGTTGGTTATTTTTATATGACTAATAAATAAATTATTATCTAATTTATTACCATCCACCATTATTCCAATCATGTGTTTTTCAAAATAAATGTGTTATTTAGTTTAATGTATCATGTTTAATAAATTAGATGATAATTTAGATAAATTAGAGGCTGTTACTTTTTACTTTTAGATAAATTATTATTTGATACACTATACAAAATAAATTTAGCTTAGAAAAATGGATAGCTGCTGCTTAAAATCATGAAAAATACATTTTCAATGTACACCATATAAGTGCACAGAGAATGTATCTAGGTTTCCATCAATTTTATTGAAAACTGTTCAAAAGCAACTGAATCAGCAAGGTACAAACTCAAACCTTAATGAAATTAGTGAGATGTTTGTCTACCTCCTTTAGGAGTAATACAGTAATTTTAAAAATTAGCATAGTAATACTACCTTAATAAAGAAATACCCAAAAACCACATAAATATAATCAACACATCAATATTAGGAGATAACAGAAATTATTGGCCTGCATGGTGATGGAATGAACAATAATCAGTTTGTTTGAAAAATATTTTTTTTAATTATGGATTTTTTAACGTTAATATTTTTTTATGATGATTGGCAAGTAGCGTTAGACGTGTGTTCATTTATTGTCGCAGTGGTAAAAACAACGCTTTATAAGGGTGTTATAAAATTATTTGTTGTGGAAAATTTAATAACTCCATATATATTGATGTTTGAAGAAAGTAAATGTTTAATACAATTTTAAAAAGTTATCTTCTATATGTGTGTTTATTTACGGTTGTTAGTAGCGCCACATTGTATAACAAACTTAAAGAAATAGTTTATGATTATACCTAATATATGATGTTACGTGATAACCGCCGCCGATGAACTTTCATGTAGATGCATTGCCAGCTTTTTACAAGGTGGGCTCCGGCTACCTCACTCACCAAATGAAATGCAGAAGTATAACACTTCCACTTCACGGCAGTCTTTTGTGGTACTTACCTGGACGGACCTGCCCATTCATAACTATAAAATACAAAGATATCAACCATAGCACTATGAACTCAGATATTGCTTAATTGTATTAGCCAACCATGTTTTCTATAAACAATCCAATGCGAGGTCTGGACAAAGGAAGTGCAGGTTATTGTGAAGGAAGGAATAACAAATGCTATTACAGATACCATTGCAAATCATAGTTTAAAGCTGAGCCTGCATTTCCACTGCACTCAAAAAAACAATAACATTAACTGGAATATGATTTAGTACTCATCTTTAAAACAAAAAGATAGGTTTTACAGTTGTTTACGTTATTTACAAAATTCAGGAAATGTTCTAAACTAAATCAAACGACCAAAATAATATTAATAACTGCGAAATGTACATGGAAGACACTCAAACCAATTAAACAAAGTGATAATTTAAAGTCTAGAACACTTTGTAATGATTATTATACAAACGTTAGCTTTCCCGCTAAAATATGTTGCATCTAATTTCAAGAGTTCATTCTTCACATAATTATTAAAGTAAGAAGTGGTAAGGATTATGTTGATTTAGTAAATGTAAATGAATCCTACATGGTTAAATATCCGATACCTGCTTACCTGTTTTAATAAAATTTGTTAGAAAAACAGCAAACAAGTTCTAACTCTAAGATCTATCAAACAAGTACAACACCAAACAGACAACGCACAATTTGAGTTGACATTTGTTGAAATGAAATTATTGAATCGAGTTTGAGCTGAGCAACGGTCATCTGTCAAATTGTGTTTGACAAAACATTTTCTTATTCTTTTACACTTGCAAAAACGTATAAACAAAAATATAATTCATATCTTGATATTGATACTGTAAAAGTAGATTCTAAAGATATATTATTCTATTTATAACAGGTGTCTTGAGATAACAGACTGTACTTGTTACTAACAAACTGAAATAACAATTCCAATTCAACACAGTGTTCCTTAATGCGCTATCACAAGCTTTTCTGTATTGATACTTATGGCTGTTACCTTAGTTATAAAGAAATAAAAAAAAAGTTAAGTTAAGTAAGTTATACGTTGCTCTATGATAACTGATCCCACAAGCCGGAGACGTCGGCAGGGAGCTTGTGTTCCCAGCCATGGCACCAAAGGATAGCTCCGTTAACTGAACGGGTTCTTGGAGCTGCAGGCGATCATTGATCATGATCCTCATCTTCTGGCACGTACTAGGGGTAGCGAGTATATCCCCACGCTACCCCAATAACGAGTATACCCCCGTGCCTGGGCTACTTAGTAAGTCGAGGGACCGCGGTTGCATTCCTTTAGGAGATCCCGTGCCACCTCATCAGGACTAAAGATGAGGAATCCAACATAACCTGCCTGTCCCTCTCTTGGTAGATAGGTTTTTTTTGTTTATGGGAAAAATCCGACAAACGAGCAGAAGGCTCACCTTATGGTAAGTGATCACCGCCACGCATGGACACCTGCAGTATCCTATGCAGGATTTCCCCACGGACAAAAAAAATTGGTAACAGTTACACAAGTTGTCACAACATTGTATGAAATAACAGGCTGTTATTTTGTAACAGGTATTTGTCACCGTTACTGTTAAATAACAGGACCTGATGTAACAGGAACTCGATTTTACCTACTATAAAATATATATTATGAATTAGATTAAGGTGTACAAAAGAATGTGAAATACATTCATAAACAACCGCATGAATATTGAAGCTTAATTAATATTTTTGGAATTATATATATTCTGTATTTATATTTTAGATTCATACCTACATTCATTTCATACATTTCTTGTATGATGTGTATCTGTATGTCTGTATGTGTGATTGTGTGGTGTGATGACTGTGATGTGAACTGATGTGAGATGTAATGTAATGGATTGTATCTCTCTCACTCTCTCGATGGTTTGAGGTTTCTAAAACTAATATTTATATTTTATGAGGCAATGTTGTAAAGTATTTTGTGCGAATTTATAGAGAACTAATAACTTGACTTGACGTTACAGAATGTATTGACAACTTGACATACCTACTGTACATGTCATACATATTTGTTCGATAAAAGTGACTTTTCCTATAATTTTCTTTACTTTAGTCAAATATACCAAAACTGTGTGAAAAAAAGCTATAAAATACTTGGCAAATAATTATATCTGTAAAGTGTAGTGATTTAGAAAGGAACCATAGGTGGGAAGTAGGCCAATTTGCTTGTAAACAAAAGATTGCGCATCGGTGTACATCGTAAGTTCTAGATTTGCCATTTTGTCATTGTATCCAGACGATGGGTTTCAGTTTGAAAACTGGAGTTTAGGGATCATGGAAAGACTGTCTCATGACTTAAATCTGGCGCTTGAAGAAAGTAACTGCGGCCGGCAGGAGCGGCGGAAACTTGGACTGCGTCGCCGCACCAGGTCCGCCGGGAATCTGCGTTAGTTATCATTTAAATTATTCAACCTGTTGCTTATATTGTTATATTATTTGTTTACAAAAAATACAAATACAAAAATGTATTATTTTATTAATATAATTACATTTAGAGTATAAGTTGTGCTATAAAATTTGTATGTATTGAATTGAGGTGTAGCATACTGTGAAAGTGAAAATAAATATTAATTTTGTTGGATTACTGTGGTAGGGCCACGCAACAGCTTCTGTTATCCAGAGAAGTACAATAGCCTCACAGAAGACTGCCGTGAAGTGGAAGTATTGAACTTTCGCCTTTCGTCTGATGAAGTAATTGGGATCTACATTTTTAAAGCTTGTCAATGCATCAGCAAGCCATTGGGTGTAAATGTATATGGGCGGTGGTTTTCATTTAGTATCAGGGGTACCTCCGGCTCGCTCCATAATTTTCACATTAAAAAAAAGTAAATTAAATCTGAAAGGAGAAAATTAGTCCCATTCAAGTATTTATTACCCAGTTACTTTAAATGTATTATTTTGATGTTTTCAGTATAGAATAATAAATTATTCAACTGTTATCATGAATGTGATTATCATATAAAAATTACTCAAGTGCATGGTCTGTACAATTTCGCTCGTCACTGTTTACCACAAATTTAAATGCACATAGCTACTTGTAACTTATAGAAAATTTAAAGAATTCCCTTTCAAGACCCCTTATTACTATTTTGAAAGAGGATTTAATAATTGATAAAATTTATAAAAATCTATTACAGTACTGCAAAATTTGAACTGTAATCTATACAAATATTGTTGAGGTCAATTCCGATGCTGTAATAAAATCCATCTTTAATTACTCTATATCATCTGGAACCTTCCCATCGTCCTGGAAGGAAGCTCAAATAATTCCTATACCTAAAAAAGCTAATCCCTCAAGTTTCTCTGACTGCCGCCCAATTTCCATACTCCCATTTCTATCAAAAGTTTTTGAGCGTGTTATCCACAATCAATTAAGCCTCTTCATATCCAAGCGAAATCTTTTTAATCCATTCCAATCCGGTTTCCGTGCTGGTCATAGTACGACTACTGCTTTAGTCAAGATTACTGAGGACATTCGACTCGGGATGGATAACCAATGTGTTACAGTATTGACATTACTTGACTTTAGCAATGCATTCAACAATGTCGATTTTGACCTCTTATTAACAATTTTACAGTCTCTTAACAAATCTCCTGAAGTGATTGACTGGTTTCACAATTACTTGTTTGGTCGCCGGCAACGGACGTGCATTGATGATTCGTTCTCTAACTGGCGCACGATCAATGCTGGTGTACCACAAGGTGGCGTGTTGTCTCCTCTTCTTTTTACAATTTTCATTAGTTCTATTACGCTCCGATTATCTTCTCGAGATTGTTTGCAACGGTCCTACCCATACCAACTAAAATTACACTTGCACAAACACTCCTATTACCGATTCTCGATTATGCTGATTCATGCTATTCGAATCTTAATGAGGACTTACTTAATAAACTTGAGCGCATTCAAAATCTTTGTATACGGTTTATATTTGGACTCCGAAAATATGACCATCGCGAAAAACTCAAGTGGCTACCGATTCGCCTTCGCAGGAATACCCACATTCTTTCTCTTTTATACTGTATTCTATTCAATCCTACTTCCCCTCCTTATCTAAAAGAGAGATTTGAGTTCCTCAGTAACACTCACTGTCACTCTCTTTGCTCCGATAATAACCTGACCTCAAAAATTCCCTCCCATAATACTTCCTTCTACTCCAAATCCTTTTCTGTCGAAGCGGTCAGGCTTTGGAACTCCTTACCGCTTCAAATCCGGCAAGCACAATCACTAGCAATATTTAAAAGACTCGTTAAAGCTCACTTTTTTCCTCCCTAAATATCTTATCTCCATATTTTTTCTTTTTTATTACTCATAATTTATTTAAAAAATAAATTTCCGTTAAATGGCTTTTGTCCACTTATCGTTCCCTTCTGTTTATATTGTATATATATTTATTCATATATAAATATATATATGTATTTTCATATATATATATATATATATTTATTTTATATATATATATATATATATATATATATATATATATATATATATATATATTTATTTTATGCATTTATTTGTGTATAGTAGTGTTGTGTATCTATAATACCTATATTTACAATAGCGTATACCTCAAACCCTTCTCACTGATCAATGTATCCTCAGTAACATGGTTGCCTGGAAGAAATCGCTTCTAGGCCGCCAATTGTACCTTTATCTAATTGTTTGTTACTTTTGTAATTTTGTCTGGTGTACAATAAAGCATATTTCATTCATTCATTAATACAATTTGAAACATTTTGAAAGCAAAGCCTTATTGATTAATATGCTTAGTTGTAACTAAATAAATGTCCTTTTGAAATAATCTTTTGGCATAAAATAGCCTGCTAGAAAGCAATTTCTCTGCCATGTTGGAGTCTAAACTTAGTTAACAATGTGAGTACAAGGTTTTGAATAATTTGTGAATAAAATGTGTGTATACAGGTGTTATGTATCTATGTACAGAAATGCCATGTATATTATTTGTAAATTAAAATTTACAATATATATCATTTGAAAAAAAAATTATCATTTAATTACAAGAAAATAACAAATTGTTAACATAAAGAACATATATTTAGTGTTACTTTAAAATAATAAAATAAATAAATATACTTATTAAGAAATTCATTTATTCAACATGAGGAAATTTTAATGGCATAGAGTTTTACATACTTTTTTCTTTTAATTCTTATGTCCCAGTCTCCTCTGTAATAGATTCTTTTTATTAATGTTGCTTTTTGAAAATACAGGAATGCATTCTGTGGTAAGAGAAAATGGTCACACAGGGATAAGAGTGACGTTTGTGAGATGAGGGAGAGATCATTCAGTGGTGGCTGCTCGTCCAAATCGGCGTTCTTTAAGAACGACATCAAATCCAAGAAGCATGAGACAGACAAGAAGAGAAGAGATGCAGTCCTGCAGCCAGGTAAAATTGTACTTAAGTCGCTGAACACAGAGGACGCGAAATCTTCAAGCTTTACGAATACCCCTTCGTTGCCAGGCAGTTCAAGCTTTAACTTTGTCTACAAGAACCCCTCGAAGAACGGCACACCGGTACTCTCCAAAATGACCGGATACCGCATAGCGACCGACCTGCCGCCATTCTTTGGCCCTAACGGCAGGAGCTGTTCAGACGTGAAGTACTACAGGAGGTCCAAAATGCTGAACAAGAACCACTCGTCCAATTCGCTGAGGAGTCAGCTACAGTTTGAGGACTCCAATAGCGGCATGGACTGCACGGGCAACGAGAGCAGCTCGCTCAGCAGCAGCGAGTCCGACGGCGTCGTGACGAACGACAGCGATAGAGAGGGCGACGACGAGCTCACGGACTGGCCCGGCATCGAGGAGCTGAAGGTGTTCAACAAGAGCCTCACCTTCAAATCTTCGAAGGTCAACAACAACTGCACCAAGTCGGTGAGCAACATGCCGCCGCCGAAACGGCTTAAGAAGGAGAGCTTCAGCTGCAAAGGCGGCTGGGGCAGCTGCAAGAACAGGTTCAAGAAGAAGAGGCCGAAGGTCGACTCGGGAAACGACGACGACGCCATGATGTCGGATTCGAGGACGGTCGTCGATCTGGAGGAGGGGACCCCGCCGAAAGGGAACCGCGACATACTACAGCCGCACCCCTCTTTCTCGAGCTTCAGCGACATCAAGAACGCCGGCGTGACGGCCGAGAATGCGAACGAGACGTTTTTTCATTCCTTTCAGGCGTTCAAAGAGAAGTCGGAGCGGGACGAGGGGGCGTTCGGCCAAACGCCCCGCACGAACTTCACTCTGCAGAAGACGTCGTCGAGCGACCTGAACGCGAGCGAGAGGTCGCCGCAAAGCGACCACTATTGCAGCGAGCACTCGATGGGCAACGCGCCGGTGACCGAAGTTAGGGAAATCAGGGCCGGCTGCAGGCGGATAAGGGAAGAGCGGCCCGGCTTCCTCATATTGAGCGCCGCGAACGAACAACTGTCCAAGTTCCTACAGGACTCCTGTCAGACGGAGCTCAAGTTGCCCAGTTTCAACGATCCCGAAGAGAAGGAGAAGCTAGAGTCTTTAGCTAAGCTATACTCCTTGGAGTTACAAGTGGAGATGGGAAGGCCGATATTGAGGAAGACTAGGTGGGTTGTTAATTACTCACATATTATAAACATCATATTCTAAATATGTGTTATTACTTTACAAATTTTAATAAGGGACATTCTTTGGCAATTTACAAATTTGAATTAGATCATTAAGAATTTAGTTTTTATATTTACTATCCGTTGTTTAATCTTTCTCTAATGTACATCATAGCTTTTGCCATAATAATATACGGTAAAATAAATGGTCTTGTTCAGTATTGTAATCGGAACCATAACTTATGTCTTTTCAGAGATACATTTTTCTCTATCTGGCCTAAGTAAGTTTCAAGCATTTATAAATATTTATTTCAGAAAACAAAACTGTCAATAAACTTGCAGTTACAATATATTGCTTTTTTAATACTTCACACAATTTTAAAAGCTTTTTTCTTATACTATTTCAGCAACACCATGCAGGCGATACGAGTTGAACATTCCTATAATAACTTCCCGTCCGATCACAAGCGCAGATGTTATGGAGAAGATGTGGACTCAAGTTTGAGCCTCAGTGATCACAATTCTGTAAACTCAGCAAATGACTTAGAAGAGGACAATTGCGACACTCTGGATGGCCAGAAAGTGGACACTACACATAAACTGGCTGAGACCTTCTCTCGGACCCTAGTGGATAATTCCTTACTGGACCCTGGTGATGTTGATTGAATTTTCAGTTTGCATTTATATCTGGTTGCTTCGACTCTTGTATTTTGTATAACTTTATACCATTCATAGTTTTAAGCATTGTCTCCGGTTTATAGTTTAATATTTTTTTAGGTTTCATTTTGTAAGATAGGGTTGTGAAAGGCTATATATATAGTACTAAATCTTTTGACAAGATAACATGGTTCGCCTTTGTTTATATTATTGTAATGTTTAGCCCCTTAATCTTCGTTATAATGTAGTAAACATTATAATGAAGAGAACATTTAATATACAAACAATTCATTTTTTACACAAAATGAACATTGTATGTCTTGTGTTGTTGTTATCTTCAAAAATAGTTCATGTATAATTTTTTATATGTTAAAGAGCAATACTTGATTCAATTAGAAAGTGTTTATAATTAATAAATATTTTTTATTAGGGACAAATTTTTAGAGATATTGTTTTATTTTTAGAAAATGGATCGGAAAATAAATACTGAAGCCAAGGACAATAAGACAAACTTAGTTTTTAATTCAAATTAAATAACATTAACATGTTTATTTCACGTTAAAGACAAAACTTTTCAATTATCTTTTAATGTCAATATATCAATTTGCTATTGACAAAGTATACAGCGTGTCGTTACCATCGCGACAATAAATGTACACACGTCTAACGCTACTTGCCAATAATCATAAAAAAATATTAACGTTAAACAAAATGCATAATTAAAAAAAATATTTTTCAAACAAACTAATTAAGTAAAAAAGAAACAAAATTTGTAACATCCTATACAACTCGCGCCAAAGCGTCGCATTAAAAGCCTCTCCTTCTAACATTATGTTTTGTCTCTTTTAAATTCATTCAACCCATTCATATGCTGTGTGACCTTTACAAATGAACTTTACGTTACAGTTTTATACGTAAGGGTGATCTAAAATTCTTTGTTTTGGAAAATTTAATAACTCTGTAAATATTGATGTTTAAAGAATGTAAATTTTTAATACAATTTCAAAAAGTTATCCCCTATATGTGTGTTAATTTATTGTCGCGATGGTAACGACACGCTGTATAATTTATCATTATCAAGTTATTCCTTGATGAAGACATTATATTAAAATTGTTATTGGAAGTTTGTAATTTATTTAATACTTATTAAAGCACCTAAGGTGTCCAATAATTACTAAACCAGACATAAGTTTGCAGTTGAATTTGTGCCAATGCTAAGGTTTGCATGAGTGAATGAGTTCAAAGAAGTCAACTTTATGTGTGACTTCTGCATAAGATATACCTACATATTAATATAATATATTTAATTCTAGATATACAGTAGTTGCACTTTATGAGAAGTTATGAAGAATGCAAGTGGTTCACCTGATGTTAAGTAATTACTGCCGCCCATAGATATCTGTAATAACTGAGGTACACACATTGACCTTTAAAATGTTGGCCCCGGTAATCTCACTCATCAGACAAAACGCACAAATATAATACTTCCATTAACGCCACTCTTCTGTAAGGCTGTGGTACTTTAACCTGCCCATTTATGCAACAGGTGAAGCACCTATGTGGCCTACAACAGTAAAATAACCTATTTAATAGGTTCAATGTTCTAACAAAAATAATATTCACTTGTTTTAAGATAATAAAAATTGCATATTATATTCGACAAATTTTTATATAAAACACAAAAAATTTAAATGTTTAACTTAATTTGTTTAAAATTCTCAGTAATATAGGATCTCATGTCTTTATATTGATTTGTTTTATTGCTGTTTATGTCGTGATTTTTCTATATATTTCTAACAAGGAGGTTGGTAATTATATAATGATTGATGATGAATGAAGGCTGTATGTACACAAATCCTGTTCAAGTAAATCACTATATGAGATTAACATATTTATAGTTATTTATAAGTAATATGTGTATATTCAGTGTTGTAATAATAGTGATACTATTAACTTAATATATAAAAAATTCGAACACGATTATTCGTCTATTTTTATCCTACTCGTCTTATTATCGAATACTTAAATAAGATAATAAGTTTTATTGTAGGCAAATTATTTGCCTTATAGGTTAAAAAAATTGTTATTTTGTAATAGCATTTTCTGTGTGATCTTCTAAAATAGTTATAGGAACAAAATCCAACTTATAGTAACACACATTGTCACTCCAGTGAGATCCTACACTGTAGCCAGTATGGGGCTGCCACTCTACAACCTTTCTTCCCCATCAGTTATTGGTTCTACTTATTGATCTTATATGCTATGTCGGCTATCTTTGGATTTCTTCTATGGATATCTTATACGAATAAATAGTGTAATAGGGTCACTAAAATAACCACGTCGATAAAAGTTTTCGCCGCCCCACGCCTGCCGAATAATCTTGCCTAATGTTCGCCAAGAAACCGTTATATTATATAATATTCGGTATTCGGTGTATAAGTAAACGTGTAACAATTTGACCACATGAAAAATTCTTAAGGACCTCCACCTAAAAGTTAAAAACTATGTAGCTTTGAAGATGATAATTTCCTTGTCAAGAATATATTTGTCACTGGCAACTTGTCTTTATTTAAGGATATAAAGATAAAAGCGGAATATGGGCATTATTTATTTTCGATATTTAATCATCAAAACAATTATACACATAAATATAAAAAGTAACAATAAAAAAGTAACAATGAGCACCAACATAAAAAAACTAAATCATACTTCATCCACACTGGTGTTAATAAAAAAAACAATTAAATTTTGCTTGCATACCCCAATGACGTCGAATAATCTAAAGGTATTTTATATTTCTTTACAAAATATAATATTTCATTTGGAAAATTTTTAATCTTCATTTAAACAAGCTTTGTTCTATGCCAATTATTTGTTATTAAAATTGAGATCACCTGTGTGGATGTGGCAAAATAAAGGAATTGTTTTTTTAAATACTTATTATGTTTAAAACTCTGTAGTATTTCGAGTATTTTTCATAATTTAAATAAAAAATTCATTTCAACAATATTTTAAAATGTCATTTGCACAATGTTTATGTCTTTTATTTAACCAAATGAAGGATACATTTTTAATATGATATGTATAAAGCAGAATAAATTGGAACAAAGATGCAATAATGCATTGAATTATTCTTTTTGAATTGTATATCATATTAAGCCACTATAATATGGGACACATTGGACAAAGCATACATAAATATTGTTCAATTTTTTTTACTCTACAGAGTTCACATTAATATTCCGAAACTTTAATTAATAAATTAGTAATGTTTTAGATATTTTCAATCACTATTCAATAGTGTCTGATTATATCACAGATTTTTATTACAAATGATCAGATAGCAAGCATTTTAAACTTTACAAAGTTGATTCACAGCTAATAATTATAATCAACAATAAAGTAATAGTAATTTTAATAGTAGATATAACTTATAAATACATATATTCCAATTGGAATTCAATTATAATAATATTTAAATAAGGTGAAATTCAAATAAATTTAACACTTCATTTTTTCTAGTAAGCGCTAATCTACCATGTTCACCGCATAAAATTATAAACACTCGATTTATAAGTATGGTGGCCCTAATTATCACAATATTAATATTAAGGAAGCAAGTACAAAAATACTTCAATAATTAAATATTCTTATAAAATTACAAAATTTCCAACTGGTTTCAATGTTCATTACAATAAAATGTGATGTTTTAGTAACTACATAATAAAACTTATGCACCAGAATTATCAATTGATGAAACAATTACTGCATGTTTCATTTAACAACAAAATCATCTCAAGAACATTTTTTATCACAGTTGTTAAATAAAAGTAAAACAAGAAATATTTGTGCTTTGTTTGATACAGTACAAAATTGCAATGAAATGCAATATTACTGTTGACAAAGTATTATTTTGCAATTTCAGTGGATAAAACAGATAAATATAAAAAATTGCAAAAAAACAAAATCGTTTTCAACACGGATAAAAAAAGCATGCAGCTAAGTTTTGGTTGCATTTCTATTCGATTGTGCAGATCAGATCGTCTCCCTCTAACTTTTGGCCATTGGTGATACTGACAGATTTGATTACGCCGGCCCTTGGCGCCTGAACTATCATTTCCATCTTCATAGCCGACAGAACAGCAATAGGTTGACCCTTGTCCACTTTATCACCTTCCTTCACCTTAATAGCTGTAGAAATACACCATCTTGTAATATTAATATGCATTTATTAATTCTCCACCTTGCACCTATCTATCTATCATATCTTATACTTTAAATGAGTAATTCTTGTATAAATGTCTCTGAATCTTGGAAACAACAAGCTCGCAATGATTTCTATGAAATTAAGCGTGCAGAGGGTTTCAGGGGTGATAAATCGAACTACCTAGGTTTGATTTTTGGAAAACTTCATTTTATCTGTGTTTTCAGGCAATGACAAATGTCATTAGAATACGAAGGTAAATTTAAATCACCATCTACAAGGTTATAGTAGCTCGGGTATACAGGTCTCGTGTCAAAATCAGAAGGCCCTGGTTTGAGTCCAGATGATTTTGTCTTTTTTTTATTTTATTTCCTTTTTTTCAAGTTTATTGAGAAAATAAATCAGAGCAAAGCTCAATCATCAAGGTACTAACAAAAATTCATGTTAATGACTAATTGGAATTACGTATAATAATAAATAAAACATGTCTTTTAAACAACCATTGTAATAGGAATAATTTTAATTGAAACACAGCAGAGGAAGATGTATGAAATATTTAGTACAGTCTGAAGGCATTTTATAGGGATGAAAGTATTGTTGAGAATAATTGATGGAATAATATACCAATCGGTTTTAGCAATAGCTCTAAAGCAAGCCTTCCATAGCTTTACTCTAATTTAATTCTCTAATTTAAAAATACGTTATTTATGAGCTCTTTTATTTATAGAAATATAAATAAAAGAGTTTATAAGACAAAATTTTTTACAGAGTATAAAATTAGGTACATAATATTCTGATTATGTTCCATTAGTACTTACTGAGGACTGTGCCCGGCATGGGGGCTCCAACTTGATCTTTGTCGCCCTTAACTGCCTTTGGATGAATTTTCATTTCCTGAAATAGAAGAAATACGAAGTTGGTCCTATCATCTTATCTAAGCATACAGAATTTTGAACACTATATATGGTTTTCAAGAATGACTATGAAGGCTAATAGTTGGGCTTGTAAACTAGTTGTAGTAACTTTTAGCGTTTTTTACATGTTTCACACATTTTATGATGTTTGTAGACAAGTAATTAATTACAATTATTACCCAGTAATTTATTACAACTATTTGTTATGACTAATCTCAGTCTGCAGTATATTTCTAAGTCAATAGGTGTCAATCCAACCTTTGCTGTGCTTGCACATTCATTATATATTCTGAGAGCGATTGCTATGTGTGTAAAGGTTGGAAACATATTTGTGTTGGGTTCTCAGAATACCGACTACTGCGTCAACTGGTACCACGACATACCTCCACACTTAAGAACACAGTAGCGTGTTTCTAGTTTTAAAGTGTGCGTATGTATAATAAAAAGCCATAGTTGATATTATGCCTGCCACTTGATCAATTTTACAAAATGTTTCAAAATTAAAAGTATACTTATGGCTCAAGCATATTATACCATTGCGGAATATCTCGACAAAGCCAATGTATGGGATTCATACTATTGCTAAAATAAGACTATTATACCTACTTTATATTGTAAACTGATCTTTTAAAACTGAAAACTGTTGAGTTTCTTATCGGTCTCTTCTCAACAGAAACTGAGCTACTTTATGTAAAATTCGAAGTTTTATAAGAATAATCTATTTTGAATATTTATGGACCTTGCTGGCGTTCTCGTCCCTTATGAAAACGGATCGCAGCTGCCCGTTCAGCTCGAAGAACACCTCGCGCTCACCAGCCGCTGTCATCTCATCGGAGACCGCCAGTGTCTTTATGTCCAGCGTCTTCCCGCGCTCGATCTTCACCTCTATAGTTTCGCCCACCTGACGAGGTGATTATAATAAAATAAATAAATGAATATTTCAGGACAGATTTTTGCACGACATTTTCTAGCCCCAAGCTAAGCAACGCTTGTTCTATGGGTACTAGATAACGGATTAACTTTTCTTTTGTAAATAAATTCATATTATATATATGTATAAACACCCAGACACTGGAAGAACGCTATGTACATCACAGAATATTTTTTCAATAGTGTGGATCAAACCCAAATAATCAATAATAATAATATTCTAATTGCGTCGTTTACTGCTCAAGGCTCGCGAGGCTAGTAAAATATTTGTAATTTATTTGCCAAAATTAAGCCCTAATAAAAACAAAGTAACAGAGAAAGAATATTTGTAATTTGCATGCTACAATCCACTTTAGGCTAGGAAGAGATGATTAAAATTGTTGAAAAAAATTTACGGAATGCAGAGCAGGGATTTGTAGCGACAAGCAAATGGTAATAAATTGGGATAAAATAATAAGGGTGCGCTAAGGCATGTTATTTCTAATTCTTCACCGTGGGCCCCACGAGGAAGGTCTTCGTGTCCAAGTGCTTGACCGGTCCATACTTATCCCTCATGCGGAAGAAGTCGTTGGCCACTTGCGGGTACATTGCTGCAGACATTACGTCTTGGTCCGACACCTAGAGAATGAAACATTATAATAATTAAACAAGTTACATTCCACAAATAATGATCATCCACCAACAGCAGAATCATATCTACAGTTTCAGTGTTACTTTTAAGCAAGATTTTGCTTTTTTTTTCTAGAATGTAGCAGCCTATACATTTTCCACTGCTGGGCAAAGGACTTCTCTATACAGAGGGTATCAGGGCATAGTCCACCACGCGGGCCCACTGCGGATTGGCGGACTTCATATATCTTCGAAAAATATTTTTTTTGTTATTATTTCGAAAATATGCAGGTTTCCTAACGATGTTTTCCTTCACCGCGGAGCACCTGATAAGTTAGCACTAAAAGTTAAAAACTTCATTGGTGCCGGCACCGGGGATCGAACACAGCTTGCTCGAGTATATTGAATTAAAGGCGAGCGCCCGGACACTGAGCTATCACGGCTCGTAACGGCTTTTTCAAGAATACAATAATTTTATATTCGCCTACTGTAATTAAACTGATGCAATTTGTAACTTTAAAAAAATTCCACCTTGTTAACTATTTTCTTTTAGCATCAAATGAATTGATAAGATACTGAATTAAGGTAATAATAATTATACTGAATATTTACAGAGTGCCAATATGTCAGTTAGTCAACAGTATTTGTTAAAGGTTTAGTTAAAAAAAGCACTTGCATCTGGGAATGATTCCTTTAAGTCTTTCTTCAACTTGTCGAAGTCTAATGGTGGCAGCTCTTGTCCAGGCCGTCCTTCGATTCTGGGCATATCTTTCAGCACTTTAGACCTGGAAATTGAAATTACATTATAATTTAGAAACAACAGTTAAAGATGAAAGTTCCACATACATATGATTCACAACTGAATAATCACAATCAAATCTGAAATATTAATACAACTTCTTGCTTGTTTGCATGAGATTTTTTACCATACTGTATAAGCTATTGTAAATTTAAATTCGACTATTTAAAAAAAAGTACATTATTAAAAAATGTGAGACACATTAAAATAGTAAGTATATCAAATAATTTAAAGTGCTGACTTATCACATGCTCAGCAGTGAAGGAAAACATCGTAAGGAAACCTGCATATTTTCGAAATAATTAGAAAAAAAAAATACTTCGAAGATATGTGAAGCCCGCCAATCCCAATAGGGCCGCGTGGTGGACCTATGCCCTGATACCTTTTGTACAGAGCAGGCCTTTGCTCAGCAGTGGGATATGTATAGGCTGTTATATAATAGCAAAAACAGTCACACATTGAAACATTTCAAGAAATGAACATAACTAAATATTGGGTACCTTAGTGGTTCCGGGAAACCTCCATATGGCACACCGATAGCACCTTGCAAGAATTCCACCACAGATTTGGGGAATGACAACTCCTCGGCTTTTTCTTCAATGTCTTTGGCAGAGAGCTTGTTCTGAACCATGAACTGGGCCAAATCGCCAACCACCTTAGATGAGGGTGTCACTTTGATAATATCACCGAGTAGCAGATTGGCTTCCCTGAAAATGAGTGTTTGCAGTTTAAAAGATGTATCTTTCAAAGATCTTTACAATTTCCATTTTAGAATGAGAACATTTAAGATTACTGTTAATAATTGAACACAATTAACATTATTGATAGAGTGCTTTAACAAATATTATTATGCGAAGCGATGAATGGGATACCTGTACGCCTTCTTGACCTGCTCGAACTGGCTGCCCAGGCCGAGGGAGAAGGCCTGGAACTGCAGGTTGGTGTACTGGCCGCCGGGAATCTCGTTGATGTACACGTCCGCGTTGCCCGACTTCATGGTGGCCGTGCACTCGAACGGCCCGTACAGCGTGCGCGCCTGCTCCCAGTACGCTGAGTACTCCGACACCGTCTGCAGCGGGATGCCTGCGACGAAAAGTTTCTCAAACATCTCTTATATGTCGTGAAAATGTATGACAGTGCCATCTATCGACAATTTGTGTAAATAAAAATAGCGTAGGAGACGGTTCCAGATTACTATATTAGCATTCGTTAGCTTAACATGGCACCATGCGACAATTTTGAACTGGTCAACTTGTTAACTTGTACTAGTTGTCGCCCATTGGTCGACAACTAGTACAAGTTAACTGTCACTCAACGGTGTCGAGGCGGTCGCCACGCAGCGAATGATAGCAACCGATGTGTGCAGGACCATGCAACAGTGTTTACTGTTGCACCAATGTGCAGGTCCGTCCGGGTAAGTACCACGACCTCACAAAAGATCGGCGTAAAGTAGATGTGTTACACTTTTGCGTTTCATCTGGTGAGTGAGCTTTATTTAAAGGTGGCAACGCATTTGCATCCGATGCACTGCTACTCACCGGTGTCAAGGCGGTCGCCCCTCAGCGATCGATAGCCCGTCAATTCAGGGCTGGCATTCACCGGTGTCAAGGCGGTCGCTCCGCAACGACCGATAGCAAGTCGATTCAAAGCTGTCACTCACCAGTGTCCAATCGGTCACCCCGTAGCGATCCATAGCACGTCGACTCGGGGCTGCCGGTGTCGAGACGGTCGCCCCGTAGGGACCGATAGCACGTCGACTAAGGGCTGCCACTCACCGGTGTCGAGGCGGTCGCCCGCACGTCGAACCAGGGCTGGCACTCACCGGTGTCGAGGCGGTCGCCCGCACGTCGACTCAGGGCTGGCACTCACCGGTGTCGAGGCGGTCGCCCGCACGTCGACCCAGGGCTGGCACTCACCGGTGTCGAGGCGGTCGCCCGCACGTCGACTCAGGGCTGGCACTCACCAGTGTCGAGGCGGTCGCCCGCACGTCGACTCAGGGCTGGCACTAACCGGTGTCGAGGCGGTCGCCCGCACGTCGACCCAGGGCTGGCACACACCGGTGTCGAGGCGGTCGCCCGCACGTCGACCCAGGGCTGGCACTCACCGGTGTCGAGGCGGTCGCCCGCACGTCGACCCAGGGTTGGCACTCACCAGTGTCGAGGCGGTCGCCCGCACGTCCACCCAGGGTTGGCACTCACCGGTGTCGAGGCGGTCGCCCGCACGTCGACTCAGGGCTGGCACTAACCGGTGTCGAGGCGGTCGCCCGCACGTCGACCCAGGGCTGGCACACACCGGTGTCGAGGCGGTCGCCCGCACGTCGACCCAGGGCTGGCACTCACCGGTGTCGAGGCGGTCGCCCGCACGTCGACCCAGGGTTGGCACTCACCAGTGTCGAGGCGGTCGCCCGCACGTCCACCCAGGGTTGGCACTCACCGGTGTCGAGGCGGTCGCCCGCACGTCCACTCAGGGCTGGCACTCACCGGTGTCGAGGCGGTCGCCCGCACGTCCACCCAGGGCTGGCACTCACCGGTGTCGAGGCGGTCGCCCGCACATCGACTCAGGGCTGGCACTCACCGGTGTCGAGGCGGTCGCCCTGCAGCGAGGCGACGAGCGCGCCCATGCTGGGCTGGCTGGTGAGGCCGGACATGGCGTCGACGGCGACGTCCACCGCGTCGGCGCCGGCGCGCGCGCACGCCAACATGGAGGCGACGCCCGCGCCCGACGTGTCGTGCGTGTGCACGTGGATCGGCACGCTGGGGTGCTTCTCGCGGATCGCAGTTATCAGCAGCCTGCGGTTCAATCCCGTTCATGTTATTACAAGCTTTATTCGGCAAGCATACAGTATTCATATTAAACCCCTATCCGCTTTTCGCGGATCGCAGTTATCAGTAGCCTGCCGTTGCGTGCTGCTCATTTTATTGCCGGCCTAGATCGGCAAGCATACAGTACTTTTTTTGGTATCGGGGTGGAAATCTTCAAAAGATACCCTATCACATGACAGGGGTATGTGGGGTTCTTACCCACTAAAACCCCCTATGGTTTAGAGTGCCTTTATTTGCAGCCGTCCACGTGATTTTTCTATGATGCTTGCACAACGACAGACATTTTTTTACATATATAAAATCTGTGGTAGGGCCACAGGACAATTTCCGCTGTTTCACAAACGGGCCGGTACGTTCGTGTAAGTACCGCGACCTCACAGGACACCGGCGCTAAGTCGAACTTAACGTTAAGCCGCGGCCCACTTTATTTAAAAGCGGCAACGCATCCGCAACGCCGCGGGTGTTGAAAATGTCAATAGCGGTTATTACATAACCAAAGCCCCCAAAGCGGCAGCACTCACTCGGCGGCGCGCGGCTTCAGCAGGCCGGCCATGTCCTTAATGGCCAGGACGTGGGTGCCCGCCTTGACCAGCTCGTCGGCCAGGTTCAGGTAGTACTTGAGGTCGTATTTGGTCTTGGCGGGGTCGGAGACGTCGCCCGTGTAGGAGATCGCCGCCTCGACCACGCCGCCCGCCTTGCCGGCCGCCTCCATGCCCAAAATCAGGTTGGGCAGGTAGTTGAGCGAGTCGAACACGCGGAATATATCCATTCCGGCCTTCACCTGAAAAGGTACGTTAGCGCTGTTGTTATAAGGTTGAATATTATTTCGCGTAACGGTTTGCTATAACTGTTCACCGAGGAATCGCCGCTAGCGTTCTCAGCAATACGGTGCCTGGGCTAGATTTGTGCATAACGTGATATTTAAATCAGTATTGATATACAGGGTGATTTTATAGACGACGGACATATTAACAGAGCATATGCAGAGTTTGATTCTTAATCTGAATCTGGTAAGTACTTGTAACCTCATTCTTTTTTTCAAACATTATTTTGAATTTTTTCAAACATTAAGAAATTCCTACCTTAACGTCTCGATACAATAACCTATTCACGAGCACTCTTAACGGGATAAACAAACAATGTTTGAATTGATATTTAATTTCTGGTTATTTCTTGGAAAAATAAAATATTAATATTTTTTAATGATGGAATGCTCAATTAACATTATGTCAAAGTATGTACTTCGTCTAAAAAATCAACCTGCATATATATTTTTAATATATTGCTTGTGTGAAGGACGCTTTATTATGGACATTACAATGCGACATGATATACAGGCTGTTACTTCACATTTTAATTTACTATTTTTTTTAACAAAAATATTTTAGTGCAGTGTGTCACGAGCTTTGCGCGAGCAAAGTGAGCCAGCAGCCAGTCGAGCCACCGTATGAGATAGAACTGATATCCCTGTATTGGGCATAGCAATGCGTATGAAAGGGCCGACTTACGGCCATCTCGCAGAACTTGTATACGGCGTTGTCCGGGTAGTTGGTGTAGCCGACCGCGTTGGCGCCGCGCAGCAGCATCTGGAACGGGATGTTGGGGATCAGCCGCCGCATGTCCTCCAGCCTCTCCCACGGGCACTCGTGCAGGAACCTGTACACGACTTCCAGTTAATGCGAGCCCTTGTTGTCATAGTTATGATATCGATTTGCTTTCCAATTGAGTATACAGCGTGTCTTTACAATCGCGATAAATGAACACACATATAGGGGATAACTTTTTAAAATCGTATTAAACATTTACATTCTTTAAACATCAATATTTGCAGAGTTATTAAATTTTCCAAAACAAAGAATTTCAGAACACCCTTACGTATAAAATTGTAACGTAAAGTTCATTTGGAAAGGTCACAAAGCATATGAATGGGTTGAATGAATTTAAAAGAGACAAAAAATACTGTTAGAAGGAGAAGCTTGTGATGCGACGCTGTGGCGCGAGTTGTATAGGATGTTACAAATTTTGTTTCTTTTTTTACTTAATTAGTTTGTTTGAAAAAAGTTTTTTTTAATTATTGATTTTGTTTAACGGTAATATTTTTTTATGATTATTGGCAAGTAGCGTTAGACGTTCATTTATTGTCGCGATGGTAACGACACGCTGTATTTGTGACATGCGGACGAATATGTTTAAAGTGAACACAAAAAAATAAAAAGAAGGGATAACGAAGGTTGATGCGAAAGGAGATCACCTCAGAGCCACGTCGAAGGTGGACGGAGTAGAGGGGGTGTGGGGGAGTGTCGGGAACTCAGATCAGAGCCGCGTCGGTGGTGGCTAGGAGTGAAGGGCGGGATGGGAGGGTGTCGGAGACCTCACCTTAGAGTCATGTCGAAGGTGGCATGGGGCGTAGTCAGTTAGTGTTGGGAAGTTCACCTCAGAGTTGCGTCGAAAGCGGCACGGGGCGGAAGGAGTTAGAGGAAGTGCCGGAGAGCTCAGATAAGAGCCACGTGAAAGGGGAGACGGGGCGGAGGGAGCGAGTATGTATGTTTGGCGGGGCCCACCTCAGAGCCACGTCGAAGGTGGCGCCGCCCCAGTTCTCGAGCGCGTAGAGGTTGCTGAAGTTGTGGGCGACGTAGGGCGAGACCGCGAGCAGGTCGTGGGTGCGCACGCGCGTGGCCAGCAGCGACTGGTGCGCGTCGCGGAAGGTGGTGTCCATCAGCAGCAGCCCCCCGTGCGAGCGGACGGCGCGCGCGAACGCCTCCGGCCCGCCCTCGTCCAGCACCTGCTTCAGGCCGCGCGGCGGCTGCACGGCTGCGGTGCACACGCTCGGTCGTTACCATGGCCCATCATTATGATCGACCATCATCATCGTGATCATTATAATCCATCATCATAATCATCCGTCGTCACAATCAAACATCATCAAGATCACGCACACACCACAATCATCGTGTATACATCATAATTATCATCGACAATCTTGATCATGATCATCATAATCATCATCATTCATGATCATCTTCATCATCACAAAAAATATTATGCACAGTTCGCCTCCCCGTGCATCAGCTACTAAGGTAGCGCATAAGTTTGATATGACATCATGTTATAAAGTGTTTTCTATATGTGGTTTCATGTCTGCTTGTTGTAAGAGGTTAAATTACGGGTCAGAGACTTAAATTAGAAGAAAATTATGCACAAAACATTCCAGAAAAACATGTAGTTTAATATGATGTCGTGACATTAAAACATTCACAGGCATATGTTATTTATTTCGTTTTACTACAATGAATTTAAGATAAAATATTTTTTGTTAACCTTTAGCATTGTTAAGGGACGCTAAAAGATATTTCTTTTCCTCATCTGTGTTAATCCTCACCTGTATTTTCACCAGTCATTTCTTGTCTTTTAACAGCCTCGGGAGAAAGGTCTGAAAAATATGATTAGTGAAAAAAAAAAACAAAATAAATTGTGCGGAAATGTCTATGGTGTGCACAGATTAAAAAAAAACGATACAAAAGACAAATAAAAAATCCGTCATCTCAGGATTGAGTTATAGCGTATGAATTATTATTCGTAAAAAATAAGTGGTTAATAACAAGCAGTAAATAATAACTTGAGCAACAAAAAATGTTGTTGTTGAATGCTTTAAAAGGTATGGGAAACTTATTAGTTATTTACTGCTTTCATGTAGAATGAGTTTTTATTAAATGAAACCGTAACCAAAATATTATAGGCAGAAAAACTTATTTGGGCAGAATGTTAATTCCAAGGTATTAAAAGAAATGTTTCCACCAATTGTAAAGTAAAGAACGTTTGTTAGGCAAATAAAATTTAGCTAACGGTAAAAACTTGTTGTTCGCACGTACCATACCCAGAGCGGACTGAAAAATTTCAAATTCCGATGAAACAGAGCGTACCACATTTAGGGAGTCGAAACATAACATAATAACATAATAATTCATATACCTATAACATTGACTTCGTGTCCGTTTTTGTTTATACTGGTTTTTTCGGTATTGAACTATATTCCGATAAATTTTTGCTTTGAATATCATTATATTAAACTTTACTATTAAACAAAAAAAATTAATAAAGGCTTAGTTATAATTTAAAGCCATCTGTATATACACACGCGCGCATGTATACGATGTTTTGTCTTGAAAATTGATGTGAAGCGATGTTTCTTAACAATATACAATTAAAGAGGCAACGTTGCGAAACGTCAAAAAATCATGCAACATGATAACAAGACGACAAGTTTCTAGAAGTTTTTCTACAAAATCACAGAATCAATGGGATGATTGTCTACTGTGTACTTTCGAACTGATTATGCTTTGAGACTTTGGCTTCTGGTGGTAAACGGAGCTTGTAAACGCACGTAGATACCCCGTTAACTGTAATATTTAACTAAATAGTATTATGGTCGCAATTACGGGCGCCATGTTTAAAACTGAGTCTTACAATAAATACACAATTTTAACGTGTCGACGGGATGTTGTAAAGGCCAAACATATATATGTTGTATTGTTGTACTCCAAATGCACAAAAGTAGTCTTAAACAGGAGCCAAAAAGTTATTTTAAGTGATTTCTTTGCATGAAGTTTATATATAACTGAAAGAGTAAAGAGAAAAGTTCTCTTTCTGTCTCTCTTTATTTTTCTATTCTGTGCCCACCCTACGTTCTTGTATTGTAAACAACTTAATTGGTCAGTTTTAAGAACGTACGATTACATAATGATTTCTTGTATTTAATCGAATACAACACATCGTCAAATAAAACTATTATACGCGATATGTTCCGCTCGTGATAATTGCTCGAAGCGTAGGGAAACGCCCACAAAGATCTATGCGTACTCCAATAGTGCCTGTGTGAGGGAGACGAGAAAAGCGGTTTTGAGTGTGGCGCAAACGAGATAGCGAATCGGGATGTGCGCCTCTTGGGGTCATGGGAACTTCACAAAAAGTAATCTGTCTTGGACGAACTTCAGGCGCGTGTGTATACGCGTTGTATCTAGGCTTGCCGGAATTCACGTGTGACGTTATCGGCGGTATACTCAGTTCGAGTGACGTCATCCGTACTCGAGGCGTGTGGAAACGCGTTTATCGCAGCGTGCCAGTGTTCCGTTCGTGTGACGTCATCGGCGGTACACTCAAATGACGTCACCAAGCCTGTCCACCGAGCGGTATTGCGCGGGATTTAGGTTTTGACGTCGGAGTGTAGCCATCCCCCCGATGGCTATACTACATTCAAATTCAAATTCAAAATAACTTTAATCAAATTCGCGTACTTATGAATCGTCGAAGTTTACAAAAATAATTTAACCCATAAGTCCATAAGTTACCACCACCTTTCGAGTGACGTCATCAAGCATACTGACCGGGCGGTACAGGCGGGATGTAGTGCTTGACGTCGGAGGGGGGATGGGTATACAACGATCGAGTGCGGCACCAAGCATTCTCACCGAGTGGAATCGACGGGATGTAAGGTTTAACGTCAGGGGATGGGAGATGGGCATTTTACGTTTGAGTGACATCACCAAGCATACTTACCGAGTGGAATCGGAGGGTGGACGGGCATACTCCGTTCGAGTGACGTCACCAAGCATACTCACCGAGCGGAATCGGCGGGATGTAGGGCTTGGCGTCGGAGGGGGGGATGCTGGTGGCTAGGGGCGTGGCGGGCCCGTTGACCAGCACGTAGCCCAGGTAGTTGAGGATCTTCTGCGCCCTGTTCTGCGACGCCTTGAACATGAACAGCTGCGGGTGCTCGTCGATGAAGTACGTGTCCACGGCGCCTGCCGAAAGGTGAGGGTTTCCTTTGTATGTGAAACGTTTCCAAGCGAGCAGACGGTTCACCCGATGTTAAGTGAATACCGCCGCCCGCGGACATCTGCTACACCCGAGGGCTCCAGATGCGTTGACGACCTTCTGAAAATGGGGATCCGGCCACCTCACTCATCAGACGAAACCACTTTACGCCGTCCTTAGGTGAGGTCGTGGTACGTACCCGGACGAGCCTGCCCATTCGTGCAACAGCCGAGGCTGCCGTGTGGCCCCACTAGCTTTTTTAAAATTTGAAGAGAAATAAAAAGAAAACCGGCTAAGTGCGAGTCGGACTTGCGCATGTACACGGACTTCGGTTCCGTATCATAAAAACGGCAAAAAATCATGTTCGTCGTATGGGAGCCCCAATTAAATATTGTTTTATTCTATTTTTTAGTACTTGTTATTATAGCGGCAACGGAAATACCGTCATCTGTGAAAATTTCAAATGTCTTGTTATCACGGTTCATGAGATTCATACAGCCTGGTGACAGACGAACAGACGGACAGACAGCGGAGTCTTAGTAATAGGGTCCCGTTTTACCCTTTGCGTACGGAACCCTGAAAGTGATTTTTATATTTACCGTTAAGGAACTTCTGATTTTCCAACACGTTTAGTAGGAAGGGAATGTTGGTCTTGACCCCTCTAATGCGGAACTCTCGGAGGGCGCGGTTCATCTTAGCAGCGGATGACGCCAAGTCTTGCGCATGCGAGATAACCTTAAAAACACAATTATTTTATCTAAATCGGGAATTTTTCACACTACCAACTACTCACTACTATTTTTTTGAGGTCTGCTTTTTATCTCGAAAGTGTATCGAACTTTTGCCCCTACGACAAAGTTGGATCCATAACATTGTATATAAAAATTTGTAGAAAAAGTACGAAAAGTTTGTATTGTCGAAATATATACCATGTTTAGGATCTTAAATTAATTTTTCTGTTTATAATGTATTATAATCGGTTGCCGTAGTCGAAGTTGTCCGTAATCTTCATATATTATATTTTTATTAACAGACAATATGACGTATAGCATAAATAATAAAATAAAAGAATCTCACTTTAACGAGGAGCGAGTCGTAGTACGGGGAAATAATGGCGCCGGCGTAAGTCGAGGCAGAATCGAGACGAATGCCCATGCCTTCGCCCGACCTGAAAAAAAAAAACAAATTTTAGCAAAACGTACGTAGAAAAATTCAGATTTCTCATATTACGATTTTAATAAAACTTCATTTCAATTCTTCGGTAATTATATAAGAAAATGTATCAGAATTAATTTCATCGCCTTTAGACAATACGAAACAGCGTGAGGTAGCCGGGGCCCGTTTTATTAAAAGGTTTTTGCAACCCTACGGGTGTTGCAAATGTCAATGGGCGGCGGTTATCACTGAGCAGTTAAAGGTGGTAGGGCCGTGCAACACCGTTGCACCAATGGGCAGGTCCGTCCGGGGAAGTACCACGACCTCACAGAAGACCGGCGTAAAGTGGAAGTGTTCCACTCCTGCGTTTCGTCTGGTGAGTGAGGTAGCCGGGGGCCCACTTTATTAAAAGGTGGCAACGCATTTGCCGTCCTACGGGTGTGCGAATGTCCATGGGCGGCGGTCATCGCTTAGCATCAGGTGAATCTTCACACGTAAAAAAAATAAACCAAGGAACATACCTGAACACCTCTATTCTGCCGGTGCTCGGTTGGAAGTTGTTGGCGGGGTCCTCTGTGGTGACCCTGCACTGGATGGCGTATCCTTGGGTCCTTATTTGGTCCTGGGTGAGGCCCATCTCGGGCAGGGTCAGCCCCTCCGCCACCCGGATCTGCGATTGTACCAGGTCTATCCCGGTCACCTCCTCCGTTATTGTGTGCTCTACTTGCAACCTAGAAAAAAATACGTGTTCCAATTGAACTATGGACACTGTGAAGAGTAGAAATGTGTAATCTTGTGAGATGGATGTATTATTCAGTTTTTATATTTAATAGGAAATAATGAATGAATGAATGAATGAAGAAATGAAATGAATGAAAGAAATATGTATGAAAAAAGGAAGAATCGATTTTATATAGCCTTGAAAATAAGCTAAATGGATGAAATTCTTTCAAACGATATACTTATGTAATAATCACAAATTGGTTTATTAATTAAAATATTTCGCTTTTTTTATGCTCACAAGTACTACAAAACAATTACATATATTATTATAATTAATTTCTCCACAAGTTTTTTTAAAGTGAGTCTAATATTTAAGAAAAACTGCATATGAGATTCGGATTTCAATAAGCTGGACAAAATGGGGAGTATAAATAATTAACTCTGCCCTCTGTCCCATACTGAATCTTATTTCCATTGAATTAAGACACAAAGGGTATTTTAAGGCCAAGTGCCTTCGATGAGGCAGAAGTTGCTAGCTTAAGGGATTGAAAGAGAACTTATTATCATTGACTTGAAAGCGTTTCTTCAAACGGACTTGGCGTTCCCCTCAATTGAGTTTTCTTCGCATAAAACCAAAAAACTTAGTCTAAACGCTCTAACGCGACAAAGATATTTTACCAATATCGCTTTAGAGCGTTTATAACCTGACGTGCATATCGACGAAGTAGAAGTTGCTAGCAAGAGGGATTGAAAGAGAACTTATTATCATTGACTTGAAAGCGTTTCTTCAAACGGACTTGGCGTTCCCCTCAATTGAGTTTTCTTCGTATAAAACCAAAAAACTTAGTCTAAACGCTCTAAGGCGACAAAGATATTTTATCAATATCGCTTTAGAGCGTTTATAACCTGAGGTGCATATCGATGAAGTAGAAGTTGCTAGCAAGAGGGATTGAAAGAGAACTTATTATCATTGACTTGAAAACGTTTCTTCAAACGGACTTGGCGTTCCCCTCAATTGAGTTTTCTTCGCATAAAACCAAAAAACTTAGTCTAAACGCTCTAACGCGACAAAGATATTTTACCAATATCGCTTTAGAGCGTTTATAACCTGACGTGCATATCGATGAAGTAGAAGTTGCTAGCAAGAGGGATTGAAAGAGAACTTATTATCATTGACTTGAAAGCGTTTCTTCAAACGGACTTGGCGTTCCCCTCAATTGAGTTTTCTTCGTATAAAACCAAAAAACTTAGTCTAAACGCTCTAACGCGACAAAGATATTTTATCAATATCGCTTTAGAGCGTTTATAACCTGAGGTGCATATCGATGAAGTAGAAGTTGCTAGCAAGAGGGATTGAAAGAGAACTTATTATCATTGACTTGAAAGCGTTTCTTCAAACGGACTTGGCGTTCCCCTCAATTGAGTTTTCTTCGCATAAAACCAAAAAACTTAGTCTAAACGCTCTAACGCGACAAAGATATTTTACCAATATCGCTTTAGAGCGTTTATAACCTGACGTGCATATCGATGAAGTAGAAGTTGCTAGCAAGAGGGATTGAAAGAGAACTCATTATCATTGACTTAAAAGTTGAGTTGTCTTCGTCTAAAACCTAAAACCTTAGTCCAAACGCTACGCGATATCGATAAAGTATCTTACCGATATCGATAACGCGTTAGTTTCCAACCACCGACCTGGCGTTCACTTCGATGAAGTAGAAGTTGCCCTTGTCGTCGAGAAGGAACTCGACTGTGCCAGCGTTCTCGTATCCGACGTGTCGCGCCAGATGCACCGCGCAGTCAACCATTTTCTGGCGCACCTGCAGTGATAGCTATACTTTAAGTGACCGCTACCTTTAATATTTAAACTTTTATGTGTATTTATAGTGCTAATTTCTGCACTTAAGATGAAACATTGACATGGAAGAGCGAAGAATGTCGACTCACTGGAGAAGAATGGAGAATTGAGGAATGTCGTAGAAAAGCATACCTCCGGGTCCAATCCGGGGGCAGGCGCGATCTCCACCACCTTCTGATGCCGCCTCTGCACTGAGCAGTCCCTCTCGTACAAGTGCACAACATTGCCAGCCTTGTCACCTGTCATATTAACACAATAATACATAGCATATACAGTAAACAAACGGACAAAAGGATCTTCTTTATGACTTATTACCAGGAAATGGATTGTTGAAACGGGGTCCCACATATTGCATATGTTCGTTACATGTCTTAAATCAATTTAATACGCCGTATAAAAGTAAAAGAGTAAAGTAACAGCCTATACATGTCCCACTGCTGGGCAAAGGCCTCCTCTATAGAGAGGGTATACAAACTTTTATTTCCTTCTAAAGGACTGGACTTATGCAACTGAAAGGGACGCAAATAAGGTAGCCGAGCAGTTGTTCTACTATTACACGAATGGGAAAGTACCACGTCGCTAAATTGACCCACGTGTTGTACCAACATCACCGGCAGGAAAGGGAAAGTGGAGGGTGGGACAGAGGAAGGTGGCAGGGATTGGTGGGGGCGATGGTGGGAATTCGGGAGGGGGTAGGGTGGCAGGATTTGGGGATGGTGATAGGGATTTAGGACGGGGCAGGGATTGGGGATGGTGGTGGGAATTCGGGTGGGGGCAGGGTGACAGGGAAGGGCGACGTTGGTGGGAATTCGGGAGGCGATAGGGTGGGCAGCGATTGGGGACTATAGTGGGGATTTGGGAAGGGGTAGGGTGGCAGCGATTGGGGACGGTGGTGGGAATTCGGGTGGGGGCAGGGTGACAGGGATTGGGGATGGTGGTGAAGATTTCGGGAGGAGGTACGGTGGCAGCGATTGGGGACGGAGGTAGAGATTTGGGAAGGGGCAGGGTGGCAGCGATTGGGGACGATGGTGGGGATGTAGGAGGGGCAGGAATGGGACAAGACAAGGCGTGCTCACCGAGGAGTTGCACCTCGATGTGCCTCGGGCGCTCGATGAAGCGCTCGATGAACATGGAGCCGTTGCCGAAGGCGCCCAGCGCCTCGGAGGAGGCGCGCTCGAAGGCGGACGCCACCTCGCCCATCTCGCGCACGACGCGCATCCCCCTCCCGCCGCCGCCGTACGCCGCCTGCCAGACGTAAAATTACAATATGTTTATTGCCAAACAGAATTACAGTTGAGTACATTACGCGTTGCCACCACACTGGGCAAAGCCTGTCCTGTGGTTGCCAGTTACGATCACCATCTATTTTACTAATTTGCCCGTCGAAAGATCGCTTCATTAAGTACAAAGTGCCTTTAGGGATGTCTATGACATATCGACATATCGATATTTTTGATTCTACATATCGATACAAAATATTCTACATCGAAAATCGTATCGAAAATGATATTTTTTCAAATTCGAATCCGGCACAGTGTCCGTAGGCGTCAAATACTTAATATAGGTACCTTTTTTTAGACAAAAAGGTTTCGAGGACTTCTAGAGTTGGAACTACATCCAAATTTGAAAAATTTTTGCCACGGAACTCGGTCATTTTATTCACGAACCGAATTGCCATTACTTTTTCAATCGACCTCGAAAAATTTCTTATAAGAAGGTTCTCAATTGTTGTATTTTTATTTTTATCACAGAAGTTAAGTCATTTATGAACAGCCTTTATTTGGTCAACCGACTTTGAAAAATTTGTGGTAAAATGGTTCTCATTTGAATTTAAAAAATATCTAACCTTAAATATCACTGGAAGACCATGTTTTTTGCAGAATTCGAGAGCTTCCTCCTTGGTTGTGATTGGTCCATCGGTACCGGGAACTATCGGAACCTCTGAAATGATAAATAGAACTGTTTAGAAACGAAAAGCGGAAAAATTATAAAGTGGTCGATGACAGTATTTCTTTACGGATTTATCGCGTTTATTTTTAATTAATGTGTCCCGTAACCACGAAAATAATCATAATCTACGTAAATACAAGAAATTGATAAGTAGTTGATGGCACAAATTACAAATTTTTAATATATCTAATATAAAGGTATTAATGCTTATATTATTAAGCGGTCTTACAATAAATATTCAAACGTATTGTTATTGAAATGTTGCACTATATCTAATACTATATCTAAATTTTCTTTATTCTTTCTTATTCTTTGGAACTATTTTTCCTTATTCTTTCTGCTTCTGCTGCTGGTTGAATTTCAATTGCCGGGGAAATCACGGCACAAAGACCAAAAATACTTATATATAAATAGTATTATACTTTTCCGTTTCGTTTGGTGAGTGAGATAACCTTACCAAGGGGCTAACTCTTACAGTTTGGCAACGCATTTCCTACTATGCAGGTTTTATAGATGTCCACGAGCGACGGTAAACAGTAAACATCACGCGAACAGTCTTTTCACCTTCAACCTTCTCGAAAGCTCCTTCTCCTTAAAAGTAGGGATGTAAAAAAGTATCGATATATCGAGGCCCATATTGATGTTATTATAAATATCGATATATCGATATATTCCTTCGACATCCCGACGTGAAAGTGAATTATTTGACGACATACTAGCTTCGATGGCTGCTTTCCTGGCGGCGACCTTGTCGCCCATCTGTTGTACCACCTGCGGCGAGGGGCCGATGAAACGGAGGCCCGCATCAATGATGGCGTGCGCAAAGTCTGATCTGTTAATGGACACTTCATTAAAATTATTTTTAAGCAATGCTATGTAAGAAATTTCATACTTTTGACTTGCAATTAATATTTTATTTTATTATTATATATTTAATACTAACTATTATTATTTATATCACTAACTAAACTCGACCATGCTTCGCGGTAGCTCTTTTTTTGTTTCTATAGGTATTTCAGAAATGTAACTCTCCTGCTGCTACAAATATCAAGTCGATTATGAGTGTTGTTTGTGGACACAAACATACGGAAGCTATACCTATTTTTATATGCAGCGTGTCGTTACAACCGCGACAATAAATGAACACACATAATATAGAGGATAACTTTTTAAAATTGTATTAAGTATTTACATTATTTGAACATAAATATTTACAGTTATTAAATTTTCCAAAAAACAATTTTAAAACACCCTTACGTATAAAACTGAAACGTAAAGTTCATTTGTAAAGGTCACAAAGCATATGAGTGGGTTGAATGAATTTAAGAGATAAAACATACTGTTGGAGAGACTTGTAATGCGACGCTGTGGCAACGAATGAAAAAGTCTCTGAATGTATGATTCAGTCAGTTGGAGTTGTATAGGCTGTTTCAAATTTTGTTTCTTTTTTATTTAATTAGTTTGTTTGAAAATATACTTTTTTAATTATGGAATTTTTTTAACGTTTATGGTTATTGGCATGTAGCATTAGACGTGTGTTCATTTATTGTCGCGGTTGTAACGACACGCTGTATATAAATTTCACATTAGCTTATCGTAATCGGTACGGGACTTAAAAGTTCTCGATCCTTTTGTGTTGAAACAAATTTTACGATCGTGTAAGCTGTGGGTTAGAGGTGACAGTGTAACTATACAGTAAGAGTGGCGCTATAAAAATGATAAGCAGTGTGTAATGTAACATACGTTACTTTACTGCCACTCCTTCACCTATCATATATATGTACCACTGTTGGACAAATATCTATTTTGGACAAGGGATAATAAAGTATAATCACGCCCAACGTCGTCAACGTCACATCACTCGACACCAAGGCGGATAGGCAGACTCGGCATGCCTTAGAATTTTTTAAAACTATCATTTAAAATGTTATTCCCTCACTATGTTTATATTACCACGAACGGACTAAGTGAGCGCTCTGATAATCTTCCCATACTTGTTTGAGGAGGGCAGTGCTCTAGAAAAATATGTTTTCATCTCATTCCTTATCTAGCTAAGACTAGTGATGTAATGTTTACAACTATGTTCATGGTCTTATTTTTTAAATGAACGATAAGAAATAAAACATTTTTATTAACAAAGAACAAAACCGATTTCAAACATCTCAATCACTATACACTTTTTATGCAATTTAGTCCCTAATGGGACCAAAAGGATGCAATCCAATCCAAAAGGATGCGTAAACTCTTTGAATTAATCAGAATGATCTTGTCTCTAATTCTATGTAATGTTTAGAACGATCAATTCAAAAAATTGATCAGTGTTTCAGAAACAAGGCGTAAGTGTACCGATAACATAATAAATAAATTAAATCATATCCAAAACGGACTTTGAAAAGGCTGTGGGATTTGTGAAGTTTGTTTTTCTTTAATTCAAAAAGAAAAGATAACTTTACTGTAACTCGCACAGTTCCATGTTTTTTTTTGTCATATTTGTTTGAGATGACATTGCATGGATGCATGTGTATGGTATTACGGTATACCAATGAAATTGATATGGAACCACATGAGAGCAAAAACAAAATTCAATGCAAAATAATTTTTAGAACTTGACCATAAAATGACGTATTTCTGACTCACGAAAGGAATGAGGAAAAATGACGTATTTCTGAGTAAACCTCTTGTCAGGTAACCGAGTCCCACTTTTTAAAGGCCGGCCATTGCATCTGCAAACCTTCATGTATTGCAGATGTCCATGAACGGTGGTGATCACTTAACATGAGGTGAGCCCGCTCGCTTGCGAACTTATCTCGAGATTTGTAACAAGTAATTACGTTTATTCAAACGAGGTATAATCCAATATTGCTTAGAGATATTGAAGTTTTCAGTCGGTAGTTACGGGAAATATTTATTACGTAATTGGACGCAAACAAAACAATTTTACATTTAATTATACATGAGTAAACAAAAATATGCGACTAATGTACATCATAAGAAATAAAACATAAAAGAGAAATTCATAAACTCTTTCTTGTGTTTGTTAAACTCTGTGTGTGTCTTTATTGTGCACAATACCCTGGATGTGTTATATAAAGTTTTTACAATAATTAAAAATATATAGTGGGTGTTACGTACACTAATTTACACAGCTTGCGTGTTCCGAACCCTAAATGGATAGGATTTATTCCGTGGTCTTTACGCAAGCGGAGTTATGTATCTTTAATGCGTTCTCAACCCAAAGTTAAGTCTTATTGTTAGATGTACCACTAAAATTCCCTTTGGCTATGACCTACAAAATCCCATTCATTTGCGCAACGCGTTGTTTTTGCTACGTAAGTAAACGTTTACACAAACATTATCAAATATTGTTTGCGTAATAGTTTACGTAAACAATAGTTATGATTACTAGTCGAGTCAAGAGATTTAAACTAGCATTTTCCTTAATTTACTTCCGAATAAAGCAAACACGACCGGCCCGTGGGAAATACAAATAACTTGCAATCGCTATGATAAAAAATCGTACTTCACCGAGAAGTGATGTCATTAAACAATATCTTTCGGTTATTATGAATACTTTAGAGTGATATTACTTTTTTATTTATTCCCAAAAATGTATTTCGGTGATTTATGCAATCTGTCCACTTAACATACTTTCAGTATATTTTTTAATACTTTTTTTACTGATTATATTGAATGAAAGGAGCAAAAAAATTGAGCGCCCGGACACTGAGCTATCACAGCTCTATATAGTAATATTATATACTAAAGGATTGTTACGATAGCTGAGTGTCGGGCAAAAATAAATAATAAAAAATATCCTTAATAACTTGTCTTACCTTTCAGACAGGAGCCCGTAGCCGGGGTGAATTGCGTCGACGTCATTCTCCTTGGCAACTCGAATGATCTCCGGGATGCTTAAATAGGCCTCAACCGGTGGCAGACCTTTGCCGACAATGTAAGACTCGTCGGCCTTTTGTCTGCAAACAAATAAGAATGACTCTCGGATATAATAAAACGTTTACTGTGCTTGCCCATTCGTGCAATAGTTGCCCACGCGGCAACTGTTACACGAATGGGCTCATCCAGGATGAATGGCACGACAGGCTCATCCGGGGAACTACCACGGTCTCAGAGAAGTGGAAATATTAAACTTTCGCGTTTCGTCTGTGCTCTGCGAGTGTTGTCAACGCATCAGATGTCCATGAATCAAATCAAATCATTTATTCATCGAAATAAGAAATATACATTTCATTTATCGATAGTCATTTTTTAAATCTACCAGCGTTTCGTAATAAGGTTCCTCTAGCGGAGAAGAAACAGGCGAAAGAAACTCCGTAGGTATCCTCTTTTTTGTCATTTTTTTTTCTCAACAAATACATTGTTATACAGTACATATATTTTTTTTAGAGACAGCTTAGGAGCGATCATCTCATTGCCAGGGGTTATTATTGTTAATGTAGTCATTTATATTATAATAACCCTTTTTAAAAAGTTTTTCTTTAATAAATTTCTTAAACCTGTTAATAGATAGGCTTTGCACATTAACTGGGATTTTGTTGTAGAAGCGTATACACCGTCCCATGTACGAGTTACTGACTCTATGGAGTCTAGTAACTGGCGTTACAAGCTTGTGTTTGTTCCTAGTGTTTACATTATGTACATCAGTATTCTTATTAAAATTATTAATGTTTTGGGCTGCGGTAATCGCTTAACCTCGCTTGACAATTTCTTAAATCTGTATAACCTTTAGTCTTTACTAATACACTTACTTTACAGTTACAAATTGAAGAATTAAAAAAGGACTGTACGAAGGAGAGCTTAACCCTAAACACAGTTCTCTATCAGCAAAACGATAATTATTAATAATAGATTAATAGACATAAGAAAATAGGTGTAAGAAATTACATAAAAAAAAAACTGGGTAATACCATCTTCTTTAAGTCAAAAAAATATGGGTTCCGGATAAGTTATCACAGATATATCATATACTGAAACATTCTCCGAAACATGCTGCATCTGCTCTACATAATATATAACAAAGTCGCCCCGCTGTCTGTCCCTATGTATGCTTAGATCTTTAAGTCTAAGCAACGGATCTTGATGCGGTTTTTTCACTAGATAGAGCGTTTCAAGAGGAAGGTTCATTCGTATTATACATCGCACCCGTGCCAAGCCGGGGCGGGTCGCTAGTATGGTATAAGTATTATTCCGATCGGCATCCTGTGTCGGTCCAGGAACAAAAAATCCGGCTCCCCATTTATTAGTATAGATGTAAATACAGAAGAAACAAATCAAAAAAGAAAGAAAACGTCATGGACCTAGTACGCATGTTTTAAGACCCCAGAATTATGTTCTCGGCTTATTGAAACTGTCTGAAAAGTGAAAGTCAGATTTATTCCATCTTTTTTTTTTAAAACATTGCCCTCATTTTAGGATAACATTATCCTGTGTTGTAAGGACGTTTTACAAACATAAATTGCACGAGGACAAACACCCAGATGCGAAACAACTAAAATATGCTCTATTAATTCTTAAGGAAATAAATCGACAAAAAACAAACTTACACAAATTAGAATCTTTTCCTCAATATGTTTTTTAAAGAAAGAAATAAGACATGTAATTATAGATAGTTATATTTATGTATGTGTTTTTAAATCTTAAATGAACGAAAACTAATCAGTAACTTGATTTCACAATAAGACAGATTCGAAATGACAAATATATTTATTTTGAGATACATCGTAATCATGCACATATTTCCATACTAGCAGAGTATTGTTTATACAATAAACCCAACGTACACACTGGAACAATACTGTATAAACGAATCTACAGTATTATTTAAACAAGGTGTCAATTAATGGTTATGAATTTCTTACGGAGCAATTCTACCTCTGTGTGCAACATTAAAAATGAAGGAATTGAAAACCTTAAAAAATTAAAAAATAAACCTAGTCTGTTTAGTTTTTTCTAGACAGATGTGAAAAAAGGGCGCAAACATATTGCACATTATATAATTATTTGCCGTCTGGCCGTAATCAAATTTAAACCGTCCCAGAATAAAATACAGGATTATGATTATTTTTTACAATGTATTACAGAATAAAACCATATAGTTTGTATTTTCATTTATTAGATACCAAATTATTTATTTACTTTTGGTCGGACCTTTTGCATTAATTCAAAATTATTTATTCTGATTTAATAAGGAATTGAAAATTCTCCCTGACGATTTGACTTTGGTTTAACATTGTGCCAATGATTCTCATCATATCATAAAAGGTAAGTGTGAATTTATCGATAGGCCAATTTATTATGACTAGTCTTTTGAAAGCCGATAGTAATATTATATAATTGACTCTTCTGGGCGAGGAGTTCATGGCCAATCAAAAGAGTAAAGTAATATCTGTCATTTCTAATGTTTCTTTTTATTATTTTATTTATGTATTTTTTTATTTTATTTTATGTATATATTCTTATTTAAGTATTTTTTTTATATATTATTATCGGATAAATTAATAACGATATTAGTTAATTAATTAGTATCAATAACAGTACTACGCACAGCTTTTCTTATACGCGATCTATTTGACGCCAATCGGTAGATCTGTAGTCAAAAAATTATTGTTAAGAATAACTATTTTACAGATTATATGGTCTTTAGCAATGATATTATATACAAATATAGATGACACTAGCGCACCTAAACTGATGCGATAAAATTACGCTAATTGGTGTAATTCTTTAGACTGCCATGCGTCATCTATATCATTAAACATCATTGGTCTTTAGTATATTTTTATCAAAATCAAAAATATATTTATTCAAATAGACGCTTGCGCGCTCTTATGAATCGTCAAATTTTAAAAGATTATGTATATAGGTTCGTAAGGTACCACCGGTTCGGAAAGCAGTTTCTGTTGAGAAGAGACCGGCAAGAAACTCAACAGTTGCTCTTTTTAAAAAATATCAGGGTACAATATAATATACAGGTATAATAATCTTATTCTAGCCTACGTGAGTATCAACAGTATTAACTCCACACATTGGCGTCGACGAGATATTCCGAAATGGTATAATATGCTTTAATCATTAGTTTAATTTTACATTTAAATTTGTCAAGCGGCACACTTAATATCGACTGTGGGATTTTACCCCATGAACGACCTATTTACTTTTTGTAGACGAAACAATGGTGTAGTAAGTTTGTCCTTATTTCTAGTGTTTATTTTATGTCTCTCACTATTCTTTAGGTAATAATTAAAGTTATGACGTATGTACAAAATATTACGATAAATGTATTGAGAAGCAACAGTGAGTATATTAACCTCTTTGAAAAGATCTCTGAGTGAATTCCGGGCTCCGATATTGTAGATTGCTCGAACAGCTCTTTTTTGAAGAATAAATAAAGAATTTATATCTGATGCGCTACCCCACAACAAAATGCCGTACGACAAGATGCTGCGAAAATAACTAAAGTAAACAAGTCTGGCAGTGTCGATGTCTGTTAGCTGCCTAACCCTTCTAATCGCAAAAACAGCGGAGCTCAGCCTATTCGCAAGATATGATTATATGGGGACTCCACTGGAGCTTTGAATCTACTGCAATTCCCAGAAATACAGCAGACTGAACTGGATTAATGGGTACGTTATTTAATATTAAACTAAAACTTTTCCTTCTTATACTGAGAAGGGTAAAAAAAATACATCTGGTTTTTTTTGGCATTTAATACCATATTATTAATAGTAAACCAGTGGAGGATATGTGAAAGTGCACTATTCACGTCGTCATAATTTAATATGTTTCGGTCAACTTTAAAAATTTGCTTTGCTGATGTATCGTCAGCAAACAGTACAACATCACACAACCCACTGGCATAAAAGGGGAGATCATTAATATATACTAAAACTAAACTTTAAATTCACGTACCCTATATATTTGTTTTTTGTAATGCTGTGAACAATTTTGACTGCCGACAATCACGAGACACAGCCACGCTACCGCCGTCGAATTCGAGAGAAATGGATTTATAACAATCTAATATATAAAATACTCGTGTCACGATATTTGTAATTGAACTCCTCCGAAACGGCTCGAACGATTTTCGTGAAATTTTGTGTGCATATCGGCCAGGGTGGATAATCGGACATCTATTTTTCATCCCGCTAAATGTTAACGGTGGCCAATCCCTAATTTTTTTATATAAAATTTTTGTTTTTATTTTTTATGATACAGCATACAAAAATACATAAAACCCTAAATTTTTACACCCCGGGCAGCAGCTAGTAAATAATATACAGAGGCTTCCGTAGTATGGATAGTGCATTAAAAAGTATTATACATTTATGTATAAAGATATTATATACTTACGTTGTAAAACATTATAAGACGCGTTGATTGGTAATAGCTTAGTTCCGTCTGCTACACGCTCGACATGAGTAGTATTGGTACAAGATCTGAACTAGCTCGAGCAAATTAGAGCTGGTCGGCATACCTATTTTCCAAAATCGCCAAAATCGTTAATACTTAACCTTTTATTAGGAAAGAAATTGTGATTTAAAAATCGATTGATCACAGCTTTATCGTTTTTTTCTAATTTCAGTTCAACCTTCAACAAAGGCCACTGAATTTTTATTACAAATTTGTGCAATTACTAAGCAGTCTGAGTGCGGCTGGTGCAGTATGAAGTATTTGCGTTCTTGGCAACAAGCCGCGTATTTTTTTAGAAACTTTTGTTAATTCGTTTATATAAAAAATATGGGTAACTAATGTTTACTATCGATAAGTCGAAATTTCACTTAAAATGGCATAGAAATTATAGAAAAATGGTGGATTAATGTGTCATTGTCATTACACATTATCGAGTCTGTCCAGAATAATCCGGTTAGCGGATGGGCCCTATTTATATTTAATGATAATTTTAAAGACAATTAAGTCTTGTGAATAACAACAACAGAAATAAGCGATTGCAAGGTCGCTCGAAAAGCAAACAAGAACAATTATATTAATAGTGTTCAAAGTAATTGATAACGTTAACAGCGTAATTAAAGATGGGAGACAACGTTAAAAACTTTATTAACCGGTTTTATAAAATTCAGTCCTCAGAACGTTCAAGACAGAACTTCGAATCGGTCTAGTCCTTCGTCGACACGAAATCTAAATTTAAAATTGACAGACAAGCCTTTAATACGCATTAGACAGAGATAGATAGCGGTTTAAACGATCTGTCAACCTTATTAAGTCAAAACGTGACCGTTGGCGTGCCCGTCTACGTGCCCGACAATGTTTTATGGATTAAGAAGCTTAAAAAAGAAACTCTTTTGTTGCGTCAACGTAACAAGATACTAGCCACCAATGCTTTATTCTAAATTTAAAACCATTCGACTAATTGCTTTTGCAAAAAAACAAACGGCAACGCAAATTGAGGTAACGCAACCAAATAAAAATTCAATGCTCAATTTATACTCAAAATACGAAATAGTTTTTCGCGATTATATCGAGACATCCCTAAAAACCCTTGAAGTTTTTCTAAAACATTTAAAGTTTGTAGAAATTTTGACCAAGTCTTTCGCCGCTGCAGGAATTTATGTTCTGAGATAAGTGCACGATACTAGCCACTTAGGAAAGACTATAATGAAACCGATACAAAATGTCAATATATTTTACCATCATGCTTTGTTTTTGATTACATTTTAATAAAAATGTAATGAAAATCAAAGTAAGCAATACTTTTTTTACTTGAGAGTTTTACTTTTATTTTGTTGTTGTGCCCTATAAGTTTCTGTTAGAAGCATACGGAATTAAAAATAACATGTGTATTTATAAATAATTAATAAATTATTTATTAGTACGATATATGTATTTATAAATAATTTATTTATATTATATTAACAGCTACGGCGTAACTTCGATATCTTTTCTGAAAACCACTTGGCCTATCCGGTCCTGTACATTCGACAACATAATATAGATCAGGTTCAAATCCTACACATTTGTCTTTTTTTCTTTCGATTTTCTTTTTTGAAACTATTCATTTTTCAATTACTATTTTACTTTTTGTGGAAAATCTACAAAGGTTATTTTACTTAAATAATTTCAATAAATAAACCAAATTTTCATTATTTAAAATTTTTAACGAATTGTATCTCATAATGTTATGTCTTTAAATATTTTTTTAACACATAGTTATGTAATTTTTATGCCCAATAACGAAAATTTATCTATTTTGTTTGTTTTATAACTTTTTCTCTGCACTGTGTTTCATAAATTTTTCAGTATTTTGTTTATTTCCAAAATTGATCCATTGTGAACCTATTACATTAATTTCTCGCTTAAGTTTTAATAAAACAGGAAGTAAAGACAACATGATTAGTAGAAGAATTAATCATGTTATCTTGTTAACGCGATTAATTCTTCAAATGTCATGTTATCTTGATTGTCAAAAAATTACGAATTTGAAGAAAATATAAAGACAGAAAAATAAGCACCCCAAAGTAGGTTTTAACTCGGCGACAGTACAGTCCGACTCACAGACCACTAAGCTAAACGGACTTATTCTTAGGTGATAAAATTTCGCTTCTATAGATAATTGTCATCGTAAGGAAATAAATATATAAGGAAATAAAATAATTGTACCAGGTTAATCTAAACATTGAAAGGATAATTTTAAACTGTTCAATATGTAAAGAAAATATATAAGAATAATAATAATTATTAAAGCAATTGGGTAATTATTTAATTCTTCAATTATTTATTGTTTTGGTGTAAGCATTTTATCGGCGTTAGGGCCACGCAACAGTTTCGGCTGATGCACGGATGCGCAGTCGGATGGACTTTTGGGTATTCGCGGAAGATTGCGTTTTCGTGTTCCCGTGTCCACGGCAAAAGCGACATCGCAGCTGCAACGTGAGTTTTTTAGTGGGTACCTACCCCGTAACTCCCACATACCCGTCCTGCCTACCCACAAAGCGGCGGGGGATCCATAAAGGATTATTCCCACGTAAGAAAAGGTCCATCCGGGTAGGTACCACGACCCCATAGGAGACCGGCGTGAAGCTGAAGTATCATACCGACTTTATTAGTAAATGGCAACGCATCTGCAACCATACGGGTGTTGCAAATGTCCATGGGTGGCGGTTATCACTTAACCGAACCGCCACCTCGCTTGCCACCTCCTCATAAAAAAAAACTGCATCGTCATCACCACGTACCTGTGCATCTGCAGACGGTCCTGTTCGCTGTAAATGGCGACGGACCTTATTCCCAGCTCGGTGCATGCTCGGAACACTCGGATAGCGATCTCGCCCCTATTTGCCACCAGCACGCTCCTTATTGGCTTGTATTCGACGCTCTTTCTGTCCTGCAACGGCGACAGAGGCGTGCAGTTCGAAACGGTCTACACTCGTATTGCTTCCTTATTTTACGCGAACAAGTACGGCGAAATGAGAGCATTTCACGGATTTTAGAGATATTTTATATTCCAGACCTTTCGAACCCCTTCCAGTTGGGACAGACATTAAAACCGCGATAAAATCCGTGTAATATTCTCATCTGACCCAACCTAAAGTACGATAAAGGAATACGAACATGAGCGGATGTAATTAACAGTCCTGTGAACCGCGCGCACGCTTGCGATATTTTCTTCTAAAAAAAATCAAATGTAAATTTTCTTATCTGCATTTCAAATTATGCTCCGACGCGTCTCACCTGCTGTGAATTCACACAAACAATGCTAAGGATTACTAATGGAATCCTCTTAGCATTATTGTCGCATTTTACTTACTCAATGTATAGTGTTTAAGGTAACTAGAGAAGGTGCGATTTAGCGTCCTCCCATATTTTATATCATATAGATATGGCATTAGGATAGAGATAGACTGTACTCACAAAACGAATGATAATCAGAGAACAAATGCCATTATATTTAGATTAATTTCCAAGTAAAACCGTGGCCAGTAATTTAATACTTAAGTTTATAGGGCGTTTCATTCCTATCTTAATAAAATACAACAATCGGATCACGCAAAATATTTAGATAAGCAATCGTTTTACTATGTCGGAAATATAATCGATAGGGTACTCTTAAAGTATTATATAGAATATGTCAGTATGACCACCAGTAAGGGTCTTTAATTCAAAATAAAGAATAATTCTGAACAAGGATAAATGTCAATGTATTAATCGACAGATAACAGTTTCATCCGTTCATTAATAATTTGCTTGACATTTTAAATATGAAATACGTGAGGTAACCAGGGCCCTCTTTTTTAAGTGATTGGTAACACATCTGCAACGCCCAACGTGTTGTAGTTTTCCACTTTACACATAAAATAATATGAAATACGTAATTGGGTACGAACTTTTACACGTATACCGAAAGCTGAATTCGTGTCGTCAAAAGACATGACTTACTTTACTACACTTAGGTTTTTTTTTTATTATGGGTTGACCACATCTTGTAGCATGACCGTCAGATTTAACTGTGTGCGATCTTGCTCGCTTTAGAAGTTGTAAATTTGTAAGCGATAACTAAATAAAAAATAAATAAATGGATAGGTGGTAAATAGTGGTAGGGCAACGCAAGTGTTCACTGTTGCACGAATGGGCATCTCCGTCCGAGTAAGTACCACGACCTCACAGAAGACCTACGTAGAAATGTTACACCTCTGCGTTTCATCTGGTGAGTGAGGTAGCTAGGACTTTATTTAAAACTGGCAACGCATCTGCAACCCTACGGGTGGTGCCAAATGTCCATGGGCAGTGGTTATCACTTAACATCAGGTGAAATGCCAGATCGTTAGCCACTTTCTCAATTAAAAAAATTAGATGTATGTACTTGCGAGAAAATATTATCTAAGAATGTAGGTGCTATCAATGACCATAGATTATTCCATTGATGGAAGACCAAAATGATGTTCACACCCTGCCTCAATGAAATATCATATCGGAAAGTAATCGTGGGATTTTCTTAATTTACATGAATCCAGCATCAGAGATGAATGCCATTCGCAACGCGCATTGATCTTTGACATTATGTGAAAAAAGAAAAATAGGATAGCCTATTTTGAATTTGGAACTGACGCATTTTTCTTAAGAAAACATTGACCGAGGGGGCGCGATTTAAAACTCACTATGGCGAGTGTTTTGTTTGGATAGCGAGTTCAATTACTTCATCACCTGGGCCGATAGCATAGATCATTTTCATTTGTTAATTGGTCATTAAATGTTATCAAGCTGCTCTAAAAATAAATAGACATCCACGGAGTATCCCATTTCTTTTGTATACTTCGGACTACGATGTTTTACGTCAGCGTCTATTATCATATCCTCGGACCATAATAGAGCCACGGGGGGCTTATGCTATTGAATAAATGGACCTAATCGTCTGGGGAGCGCGACCTAATAGAAGAAGTGCGTAAACTTTTGCATTCCGTCGTCAAGTAACAGCCTATAAATGTCCCACTGCTGGGCAATGGACTCCTCTGTATAGAGGGTATCAGGGCATAGTCCACCACGCAGCCCCACTGCGGGTTGGCGGACTTCACATATCTTCGAAATATTTTTTTTTGTTATTATTTATCGTGGTTTGCTCACGATGTTTTCCTTCACCGCTGAGCGCTTGATTCAGCACATAAAATAAAAAATTCCACACCGGGGATCGAACTCAGGTTGCTCGAGTATATGGAATTAAAAGCAAGCGCCCGTACCTACCTCGGCTTTTCTTTATTATTATTTATTATGCAACAATATCATATAAAAATCTTTAAGAATGTATTTATAAATAGCCTGTGTTAGTGGAACGTCTACAACGACACGGGTTTGCTTTCAAAGTCGTGAAAACCGCCAAATGAACACTTAAACTAATGCAACAGCAAAGATATAGTTTTACAACCACTTCGCAGATAACGAGAAAGCCCCTATCTCGTTCGTTATAAATGCAACGTGACAGGATAATAGCGAACGGTTTAATTCGAGAACGATAAGACATAAACAAAACAGAGGTTATTTTTACATCTATAAAAAATTATCTTTTTTTAAAGAAAAGCTTTTTGAATTAGCAACAAACCGGGCAGTTCACATGATGTTAAGTTAGTCCATGCTCATCTAGAACACCCGAGGTTGCGCTGCTTTACCAACTTGTTATTAATCTGGCCCCGGTAACTTCGCCCAGGAGATGATAGAAGAAATTGTAAATATTTCCACTACTGAGCGTGTGCGTTTTTAACAGTACCGTCGACTTCAACAATATAATTATCACTTAACATAAAGACAAACATTTAAAAAGTCATATTTTTACGAACGTCGACGTTGTTCAGATATACACACAACTATAGACACAAATATACATGGCCTCAAACCGCTAATCCTTAGTAATTTATTTTAGGTGGGGCGTCTGGCCTTGAGGAGGCCTTTACAAATCTTCAGGGCTTAAGGTGACCGGCTGCACAGGGCGCTTAGCCTTTACCTCGATTATGGGTGACTAAGCTCGAAGGCTCCTGAAGGTGCCTCGGCTCGGAGCCTTAGTATTGTTTGTCAATAGATAGAACAAGTCCATTTTTATTAACGAAAAACAAAACACTTCAAAAATCTCGCTCTGTATTCATTTTGTAATTGATTTTCAGGAGTTCCCCAAATATCCTCCGGAACCCAAGATCCAATACCAACGAACTTAATATGGGACCACATGGGAAGCACCAGCTTTCAAATAAAAAAAAATTATAAAAATCGGTTCACTCCATCCAAAATTCTCAGGAAACAAACATAAAAAATACAGTCGAACCTCCTCCTTTTTTTAAGTCGGTTGAAAAGTAGGCTATACTTACAGTAGTCGCAGTGCGGCTTCGAACGGAGCACCACGCCTGTAGCTGAGACGCTGACGCCCTTAGGGCATATCTAGCATTTAATATTTGCATATTTGCTTAAAATAAAAAATAAAAAAAATCTAACAAACAGCTATTAAGTACAAGCTTAGTTCGCTCAGATTAAAAGTGACGCAGTGATTTATTTCATTTTCGAATGATTATATAAAAAATTGACTAGATAAAGTTTTATTAGAAAATTGATTTCGTTTCGTGTCGCCTCGATCGATGTGTGCCTGGAATGAAACAAGCATTTTTTTATTAATAAAAACTTATTAAAATAGCAAGCAAATGAGAATTCATTCATCAGAAGCAAAAGCAAAACGCCACATTGAATAATTGCAATTTTTTTTGCAGCGGAACATTATTTTATTGTAATGAAAAAGAACTAAGCTCCAAAAAAACATCACAGCTGTCATACGATGATTTATTAAATGTAACAATTGCAATATGTTCTGAATTTAAAAATCATTATATTCGTTAGATTCCATAGTGTGTGTATGCTTATTCTATTAATTACTCTATTAGGATTTGCCTACCCCTGCAAAACAGAGGAGAACAAAATAAACAAGGTAATACAAATGTCCTAAGAAATATTTAAAATGTCCTAAAAACCTATGTTTTAGCTATCAAACCACATATTCAGTAAATAAGATTTTATAATCTGAACCTTATTGTTTAGTAAAGTAAACAGTTAAGTGAAATATGCAACAATAAGCGTAAAAGGTAGTGATCTAGGTATTGGCTTCGGAGCCAAGTATTTCTGTGACCTACACATAATTTTTCCAGATCTATATCCGTTTGTTACATAATAGAGGTAAGGTGGCCTAAAAAGCTAACAAATACTATATCCAAATGTTGTGCCGACTTTAGTTAGAGCAATAGGAGTTAAGTTCAAAACCGTTCACTAAAGGTTCCCTTAATACGATTAGGTTGTATTATAAACAGAGTTTGAGGGTCAAAGTAAAGAAGAAATCAACATAAATTAGATTACGGTAACGTCAAATATTAGTATCGGATGTTAGGAAAATTCTTACTTAACTGTTCAATTCTGCAACCAAGGTTACGACCAAAATAATCACTTACCGTACCTATCTATAATATTACATGTATGTAAGCAAAGTGAATGTTTTGCTCGCTTATCAATGACCAAATACATAATCCTAATTTTGTTATTAAATAACATAATATGTACTCTTATATCAGCTATATTGATATTCGAAAATGGGCAAGTAGAAATAAATATGCAAGATTAATTTCAACATTTGTGATGAATATTTGCTATTGAAAGTAAGTCTGTTGAGAACTAAACGGTTATAATATAATTACACTAGCTGACCCGGCAAACGTTGTTTTGCCATATAAATTATTTGTAGGGTAGAAAAAAATGTTTGGCGTGGAACCCCCTTAACATTTAAAGGGATGAAAAATAGATGTTGTCCGATTCTCCACCCTGGATGCACGATGCACACAAAATTTCACGAAAATCAGTCGAGCCTTTTCGGAGGAGTTCAATTACAAACACCGTGCCACGAGAATTTTATATATTACATTGTTTGGACTTATAAATCTTATACATATTTAATACGTATACGTTTTTACACAAACTTCAAATGTTGTTTGTTTTAACAACAACAATTAGTACACTTTTGTAAATACTAAACTGATATATCATCACCCTCCTATCTTTATCCCACCTAGGTGTGGTTGGCACGACATGTGAATCGAGTAAGTGGATTTGGTTAGGTTTCACGACTGCCTGACGTCAACTCTCCTTGAGAATAAACGCCCAGATCCAATGGAACAACTATCTGTGGGTAAAAAAAACTTGTCATTTGATGGAATCGAATCCACTGCCCACAGCACCGAGGCCAATAGAACAGTTACTTCGTTATCTAGTCACCATTAAACTTCATAATTATGTGGATCTGACTGATAAAGTCTCCTTCAAATGACATATCAATTGTCGCCAATATTTAATGCAGATTGTCTACACGCGTCCACTTTTTGTTAGAGGTTAAATGATCTTTCATTAGAATCAGTTTTAAATGTTAAACGGTATGACATAGTTTGAGAGAACTGACCACGAAAACCGGCGACCTTAAAAAAAGGTTGTCTACTAATGATAATAGCTTAAACTTGTTAAATCTTAAGCCTTAATTTAATTTCAGGTTGGCTCATAAAGTTAGAGCCGCCGTGTTATTTTGTCAATAGTGTTTTCGTATTTTTTTATGTGAGAAGTGTGGCAAGTAAGCTGGCGATTCACCTGGTGTGAAGTGATAGCCGCCGCCCATGGACATTTGCAACACGCGTAGCATTATAGGTGAGTTGCCACCTTTTAATAAATTGGGCTCCGGTTATCTCACGAGACGACAAGCAGAAGAACACTTCCCCTTCTGTGGGGTCGTGGTACTTTCTCGGACGGACCTGCACAGTCGTGAAACTGCGAGGTTTGTTGCATGGTAGGTTCACATTATGTTGTATGTATGAAGTTGTAGTAAAATTACTTTGTTTGGCTGCTTTTAAAACCATTGTAGACACGAAATTTAAAAAAAGGAAAATTTAAAATAAAAGACATTCTCGCTTATTTAAATTACTTTTTGAAGTTTTATTACAAAAAATGTAGAAATGTATTTCTCTCCGAGAATTTCGATGTCAAAGACGCAGCTCACTCTGGTCGCCCTGTTATGGATAATTTCGATGCTATTGCTGAAAAAGTGGAGCACGATAGTAGCTACGACATAGCTATAGTACTAGGGATTGACCACAGTTTTGGCCCATTTGAAAATGTCTAGGTGATACGCAAATATTTACTCATTGATGACTAGAGATGAAAAGTGGATCAGCTATGACAAGAGCGCGTGAAAAATTAATGCATGGTCAAATGGCAGTCTAGCCCTCACAGACTATAGAGGAACCCGGATTAACAGTCAATAAGATAATGTGTTGTAAACCATCGATTTGGATCTCTTTTGCCAAGAGCTGATGAGACTCAAGCCAGAAATTGAGAAAACTGAATTGACCAACATCCACATATATTAGGATCCTACTAGGATCCAGGAAGCTAAAAATTGGGTGGTTGTTTGGGATGTTAATGCATCCACTATATAGCCCTGTCCTGTCCATTTTGATTTCCAGCTTCTTCAGTCACTTTAACATTCTCCGGATAGTGTTTTAAGAAAGAGAAGGACAAAACAGAGAATTTCTACAGCAAAGGGATTATGTCACTCTTTACAAGATGGCAAAGTTATATAACAAAATGGAACGTATATATTATATTTAAATGTAATTAAACTTTAGAAATTTTAATTTTTAAATAGAATTTTTATAAAAATACGTAGCAAGTTTTTCACCTAATATTGTGAACTAAGATTCTTGAGAAACATACATTATTTACGTCATTATCAAGATATATTGTCAATTTTCTTTTAAAGTGTTCTTTTCCATTTATTTTAGAGGCACTCATAAAGAATATAATTATGAAAGTATAATGTTAAGTTTTACCAATAAGGTGCCATGGCATTTTACCGACTACGCACAAATGAATTTGATTTCACGCGGGGTTTCAGCTCATAACGTTAACATGGCTTCATACTAATTACAGTTTTACTGCAAGTTTATTTCAGTGCCGATATATTATAGTATTTTATTATTTTATTTTCACGTCAACCATAAGCGGATTAGTATATCACTTTGATGAAAATCAATACACGGACAGCAACGTAACAATTTTTTTTAAGTCTTATTATTATTTAATTATTTTTGTAGTCACTTTTGTTTTTTACAACGCTATGCCATATTAGGTAAAATGTTCGATAATCTCTTGTTTATTTTCACTAAGGGGTTTTTAAAAATTTAAATGAAATCACTGTTACGAACCATTATCAGGCAAACTGACAGTGTCTGATTTTTGAAATTGTAATAGAGAGAGAATTAGATTTTTTTAACTAATAAGAAGGTAAGATCTCGATGTACCGCTTAATTCACATTTGCTTGCAGAAATACAGTGGTAGGGCCAGGCAACAGTGTTCACTGTTGCACGATGGGCAGGTCCGTCTAGGTTAGTACCACGACCTCACAGAAGACCGGCGTGAAGTAGAAGTGTCACTTTTTCGTCTGGTGAGTGAGGTAGCCGGGGCCCACTTTATTATAGATGGCAACGCCTCTGCAACCTTACGGGTGTTGCAAATGTCCATGGGCGGCGGGTATCACTTATTATCAGGTGAACCGCCAGCTCCTTTGCCACTTTCTCACATAAAAAAGGCCCGGTTGTCGGATTATAGTGTACTGCTTAAAACCCCTGCAGTCCGGCATTTATCGAAAGTGTGCCTTGTAATCCGACAAATGATAAGATTCTATGTGAATTACGTGTGTCGAATTTAGTAAACAAAACGCGTCGAGCACAATACAGTGTAGCGGTAGCGCGTACAAGTTGCAATCAAACAGCAATCATGCATTACCCACAACATTAGTGAAGATTTGCCATAAAATGTTTTTGAACCTACATTCAACAAATAATTACATTTAGGCTTGTCGAATTACAAGGGGCGCCGGATTATAATAATAATAAAACCATTTATTCAGCTCAACAAACAACACTAGCAAAAAATAAACAATGTACATATGTAGAAAAATAAAAAAGAAGAAAAACTATAATATTCAACAAAAAATAAAAACTATGTACAGAAAATGTGAGTGTTGCAATGCTGAGTTGATAGGGTCAGCTGCTCAGCATTAGACAGGGGACGGATTACCGGGGGTCCACTGTATACTAAAGTAACAGCATATAAATGTCTCTGTACCAGGGTATCAGGGCGGTTTGGCGGAGTTATATTATTATTATTATTATAAGATTTTTTTTTATTATGATTTCTAAAATAAAAAAGGTTTCCTCAGGATGTTTTCCTTCTAAAAAAAACGTTTTCTAATTTATTACAAATTAAACTAATGATAGACATAGAACATTGCAAAGTAATGCCAATACTGCGAATATCGCTAAAGCTTTAATTTGAAAGCCAACGGCCTTGACACCTTAGTTGACAGTTACATTTGCG